ACCTGTTCCGTATTCATAACATCCACCAACATTTGATTGTGCTATAAGATAGCCTTTTCTAGCTGATTTTAAATATAATTCAAAAGCTTTTTCTTCATTTTTTTTAACACCAATCCCATTTTCATAACAAGCCGCTATGGTATTCAAAGCTCTAAGAGACCCTTTATCAGCAAGTTTAGAAAATATCTGAAAAGCTTTTTTTGTATCTTTTTCAACGCATAAACCATCAAAGTACATATCTGCAAGATTGATAGCACAAAATTCTTTGTTGATGTTGTATTGTTTCCTTAAGAACGAAGAATTAGAAGAGGAAGTATCAATTATTTCATTGTTATTCAAACTAAAGAATTTAAATGCCATTTGATAATCAACAACAGTCCCAATACCATACTGGTAAAAAAATCCTATTAAGCTTGAAAACAAATGATAAAATGGATGGCGAATCATTTCAAATAGAATTTTAACTGGATTCTGTTTGTGTTCTCTAATATAATTTTTGATTATATTTGGTTGCATTTCTAAAATCTGTTTTTTGCGCATATCAATGAAAAATTCAAATAGTACATTAATAAAACCATTAACTTCAGTCGTGGCATTAACAAAATGATGATCAGGTTTGATTTCGGGTTCTTCATTTTGTCTTAATAACAAAGAATAATTTTATAATTTAATAAATATTCAGGAGATTTAAAAACATATAAAAAATATAAATACAGCTTACATGTTTAAATTTTCTAATTGAGCAAGAATAACTTCATCTGTGATATTATGAGGAGTTTCAAGTTTAACACTTGCATCAGAGGAAAATATTTTAGAAAGCATTTTAACCACTTTAGAAACTTCGGGTCGTAAATGTCCATTTTGTTTCCAGCAATCTGTAAAATATATTCGCCATTGCATAATTTATTGCATAAACAATATTGATAAATTAGTACCTGTGAATATTTCATCATTTTTAGGTGTTCCAAGTATAATCATTTCTCTATTACCTATTGCAATATTGTTTAACAAATCAATATTTGATGAGGATTCCATTTCGAACGGAGGATTACCACTAGAAATCTCCCGGAGAATAATTCCTAGATTAAAAATATCAGAACTTTTATTTTTGTCAATTGTGCTGAAGAGTTCCAAATATTGAGGATCCATGTATTGTATTGGATCAAGATTATTTGTAAGGAAACTTAAAGAATCGGAAATGATTTTTTTTAATCCAAAAACATTTAATTTAATGATCCCATTATGAATAAGAATATTTTCAGAGTTCTAATTAAATATTTTTTTTAAAAAAAATTAAAAAGAATTCATTTATGAAATTTATTCTTTTAATAAGAATATTTTTAAAAAAAATAATTACGAATTTCCCATGAATGATTTCATTAGAATGTAAAAACATCAAAACATTTGTAATTTGTTTTGCGAGATTTAATTTGGCATTCCAATCGAAATTGGTTTTCAAATATTGATGAAGAGAACCTTCATTAACATATTCGAGGATAATCATATAATTGTTGGTATTCTCTATAAAAATATAAATAAATAAAACAAATAAGCGAGTAATTAATCTTATTTAAATATTAAGCATATTTTTACCTTGCTTAGTGACGCCGTAGAATTTAAGAATATTATCATGAACTTCCAATTTTCGATATCGTTTAACCTTTTTTAATTTAAAATGGTGAAAAAGAAATACCAATAGGAAATTCCAAGTTATAGAATAAATAATTTAATCTAACTCACTCACCTCATTTATTAAATTTTCCAGTGTAAATTTATCATTCAAAGAAACGCATTTAAGGGCAATAGTTTTTTGAAAAGTTTTAAAAATGGCATCATAAACATTTCCACTAATCAATTTTACATTCTCAAATTCGGAATATTGATAAAATGAAATATTTTCTTCTTGAATAGATTCTTCAATAATCAAATTGTCCATCCAGGTTTTTCATTCTTTTTCTTTGCGATTTATAATTTTTTAAGTCACACCAAATAAAATTGTGCTGATCATGAAACTTCCAATACCTCTCCTGCCTAGTGTAACTTTAAAGGTTCGGAAATTACATAATTATTTATAACTGATTAATGTAATTTTGTCATTTTCAGAAAAGGAAATTTAAATGTCACAAATTATAGTGCTAATAAATTTTTTATCTTGACATAATTAATTTAATTAATTTTTACTTTAATTAATTTTCTATGATATAAAATTACTTTAACCTTAAAAACCAGTATTTGTTGTGACGACTTTTCTAATGAGATAAAGATGTATTCCAAATAAAAATGAAAGGATTCAATGGATTGAAAAACCCATTTAGCCAAAAAAAAAAAGTTTTATTAATGAAAATAGTCGTGATCATCTTTAAGGTAAAAGAAATATTTATATAAAATTCGTATATTTTTGACTAAAAACTAATTATTTCTTCTAATAATTCATTGGAATGTGTATTCCCATTTTCATTTGCTTTACTTAGCCAGTAAATAGCATTTATAATATCTTTCTTAGTTCCATATCCGTCATAAAAGCATTCTCCGAGATCATATTGATTATTAGAATGATCATTTTCTGCAGCTTTTTTAAGATCAATATTAATTCCATAACCATTTGCATAATAAATTCCTAAAATATATTGTGCTATAGAATCTCATTTTTCAGCAGCCTCTAGATATCATTTGAGCGCTACTTTTCATCTTTATACACACGCCTATACCATCGACATAACAATATCCGACATGATCCAATGCATGAATATTTTCAGCAAGAGCAGATTTTGTATTCCATTGAAATGCTTTGGTTTTATCTTTTGATGTTACCGTTCCATCATAATAAAACACACTAACATTAGATTGTGCTACAAAGAGCCTTTTTCAACTGATTTTAAATTCTAAAGCTTTGTCTCCATTTTTTTTCAACACCGACCCCATTTTCATAACAATAAGCTACCATATTCAAGGCCATAAAAGACCCTTTATCAACAAGTTTGTAATAAATCTGAAATTTTTCTTTTTGTATCCTTTTCAACACCCAAACAATCTAACTACATATTTGCAAGATGATTCCAATTATCTTGTTGATATTAAATTGTTTCCTTAAGCATAAAGATTCAGAAGAGGGGTATCAATTATTTCATTTGATGTAAGTTTAAAGAATTTAAATGCCGTTTGATTATCAACAACAATCCAATTCCATACCGATAAAAAATCCTATTGAGCTAGTAAACAAATAAAAGGATGGATGGCGAATCATTTCAAATGGAATTTTAACTGGATAATGTTTGTGTTCTCTAATTTTATTTTTGGTTGAATATCTCGGAACTGTTTTTTGCGCATATCGATGAATATTTCAAACAGATCATTAACGAAACCATTAACTTCAGTCGTGACATCAACAAAAGGAGGACCAGGTTTAATTTCATGTTCTTCATTTTGTCTTAGTAAAGAAGAATTTTATATTCAATAAATGTTCTGAAGATTTAAATATATATAAAAGCATTAATAAATTCAACTTACATATTTAAGTTTTCCAATTTAACATCTGTGACATTATAAGATTGTGATTGAGAAGTTTCAAATTCAATGCTTGCAAGAGATAGCAATTTTAGAAAGATTTTTAACAACTTGAAAAATATCAGGTCGTGAGTTTCCATTGTGCTTCCAACAATCTGTCAAAAAATAACATTATTATATTAATAATGTTATTTTTTGACAGATTGTTAACATAATAAATTATTAATATACTATATTAATAATTTATTATGTTAACAATGTGAATGATTTTAATAGATCATCTAAATTGATACCAGTATACATTTCATTGTATTTATGAGGTGTTCCAGGTATTTCCATTTCCTCTTGCCTTTTGCAATATTGTTTAACAAATCAATATTTGATGAGGATTCCATTTCGAACGGAGGATTACCACTAGAAATCTCCTAAAGAATAATTCCTAGACTAAAAATATCGGAACTTTTGTTTTTAACAAACGTGCTGAAGAGTTCCAAATATTGCGTTGTATTGGATCAACATTATTTGTAAGAAACCTTGAAGGATCGTAAATAATTTTCGTTAATCCAAAAACATTAAATTTAATGATTCTATTATGAATAAGAATATTTTCTGAGTTCTAAGTGAATAAATTATAAAAAATAAATTTTAAAATAACTCACTTATGAAATTTATTTTTAAATGAGAATAATTAAAAAAATAATCATAAATTTCTCATGAATGATGTCATTCGAATGCAAACATATCATCAAAACATTTGCAACTTGTTTTGCGAGATTTAGTTTTACATTCCAATCTAATTTTTAGAATTTGTTTTAAATATTGACGAAGAGAACCTCCATTTACATATGCATTTAATTATTGGTATTCTCTATAAAATAAAATAATTAATTAATTAATAATATCTAAATATTAAGCATCACATGTATATATTTTTACCTTGTTTACTACCATGAATTTCCAATTTTCGATACCGTTGAATCTTTTTCAATTTAAATGGCGAAAAAGCAATATTTACCGCAAATTCAAGTTATAGAATAGATAATTTAATTTTAACTTCATTTATAAATTACCCAGTGCAAATTTATCATTCAAATAAACGTATTTAAAGAGCAATATTTTCTGAGAAGTTTTAAAAATGGCTTCATAAACATTTCCGCTAATCAATTTCACATTCTCAAATTCGGAATATTGAATAGTATCTTCAAAAATTTCAAATTGACCATCCAAGATTCCCATTCTTTTTCGTTTATTTTTTCTTGGGATTTATAATGTTCTTTAAGTCACGCCAAATGAAATAGTACTAATCGACTACACTAACCTTTCTTTTGAAAATGTTCTCTTTTTGTGAAACTTCGAATGATGAAGCCTAGTGGAACGATTCGGAACCTTTTATAGTTTAAGCTTGCATTGTATTACTCACAAATTATCAAATAAGTTTCGTTATAACTTATAAATTTAATGCTTAAAAAGGAAACAATTTTATTGCTTAATTATAAATGTTCACAAATAATTTATTAGTAAGTAAAAGTGTAAGCTCTGTAGCCACTGCGTAAGTAATTATGTGCAATTGCTACTCCTTATTTAATTTTTTCGCTAACTTTCCGAAAATATTCTTCGGGATAGTACTGATACGGTTCCAGAAAGTCCAGAAAGAATGCCAGTCTGCAACTATTATTGAAATTTGTGGTGGGGAATTGGAGAATTTAATGAAGAAGCGAGATGGAATGAAGTGACGTAAGTTTACTGTTTGATGTCGGTATTTTTTGAGCCAGTTGCTGATATAAATTGTTTATATTAAGCCCACCATATGTACTTGCTACGGGCATCACCGTAGAGGAATATGAACAACGTACAGAAAAGTTAAATATTCACGGATGTTGGGAGTAGTCAAACGGAGAAGTCATAATCTATGAACTTCCTTCTGCACCATATGAAGTTTGCATCGGTGCAATCATTAAGGAAATAAACAAACGTTGCAGTGATGCTGATGGAACTAACGTAGAGATTATAAGTTTTTGTGCTACTAGTAAGTATTAACATTATGATATATTGTTCTTTCTGTAGCATCAAATTAATTTTTATTTCTTAAAGGAACGCGTGAAATAAACCGTGGAAAAGAAGCCGATGCATCATTTCATCCGATAAAATCAGCAACGGAAATGTAATTTCTGTTCTTTTTATTGGTTTTGAACTTTTTAAAGCTAGTAATTTCATATACCTTTTTTATCTAGGATTTTCCTTGGCCAAATTTGGTTGTGGAAGTAGCCTATACTGAAACATTAGATCATGTAGAAGAAGCTTTGAAATATTGGTTAAGTCCTGGTCACGCACACGATTGTATTATTGTAAAAATCGATCCTGTCCCCCAAGGCCAAGTACCGGTCCGTATGAGGGTAAGCTATATTTATACAGTGTAATCATCATATTATTTGTATAATAGCTGAAGATCTTAATTCATTGTAGGCTTGGTATTATTTTATAGAAGATAGAAAGATAAGAAATACAATTCCATATAGAACTATGGTAATGTTAGACTATCCCTTAAACGGTTTATAACGTCACACAACTATTATTTTATTGCCACAATATTCAAGTAAATTTTAATTTTTAATAAAATAATATTATTTTACTACTTTTTATAATGGAACTTCAATTTTTGATAACCAAGATGATGAAAACATATATATTGTACAATTATCTCATAATATTCATACAAATTTTGAGGTAAATATTTCTGAAAATGAAGAAAATAACTCTGAAAATGAAGGAAATAATGAGATACAAGAAGAAATTATTCAAAGTGAAAGAGGCCATGGTCATAGTCAAGGTCGTGGCCATGGTTGAGGTCAAGGTCAAGGTCAAGGTCGTGATCATAATCAAAATGAAACATCCTCCCCTCCTTTTTTTAATTGTTTTCAACATTCTAGACATTTACATAAATTTATACCAAATTTGCCAAATGAATATCAATCTTTTCTAATATCTCCATATTTAATTTTTAGCCTTTTTTTTCTTTAGAACAATTAAATACAATTGTTTTAAATAAAAAATAAATATGCTTTACTTAAAAGAAGCAGGAAAAGGATGTAAATGGGAAGAATTAACAATAAGTGAATTAAAAATTTGGATTGCAATATTAATTTATCTAGGTATTTTTAAATTACCTAGTGTTTGTAATTATTGAAACAAAAATGAACAATTTTCTGAGCATAAAATAACAAATTTTATGACATTAATTTGATTTAAACAAGTAAGCTATTTTAATTTTGTAATAAATATTTTTTATTTAATTTATAAATGTTAACTTAAATTTTAAAAATTAGATTAAACATTTTATACATATTTCAGATTGTACAGTACTATTTCATCTCCATATTGGTCAAAAAGTTTCAAAATCAATTTGTATTCTATCTTCTAATATTTCTGTTGATGAAATGATTGCTCGATTTTCTGAACACAATGCCCATACAGTAAGAATCAAAAACAAACCTACTCCTGTAGGTTATAAAATTCTTTCTTTGTGTAATGCTGGTTATACCTATACTTTTATTTTTACATCCAAAAGTCTTAATTATCCAGAATTAGAATATATTCAAAATTTAAATAAAGCTGAAAATGAGATTTTTCATCACGTCTCCCAGCTACTTCCAAATAAATCTTTTAAATTTATATGGATAATTTTTTTTTCAATTAATCTTTTTCAAAATTTATATAATAACAATTTTGATACATGTGATAATGTTCATACAATAGTTCTAAATTTCCAAATATATTAAAAGTTAATAAAAAATTAGATTGGAATATTCTTTCAGGAATAGTAATGGACAATGTTTTGACTATATTGTGGATGGACAATAGTCCTGTAACAATGTTAACAACAATTCATAAAATAACTGGTGATGAAAATATTGAAAAAATGAGACATAAACCAAGAGAAACAAGTTTAAATTTAGCAAAAGTACATGTAATTTTTGGAAATGCAAATAAAAAAAATATTACCAATTCCACAAATAATTGATGATCATAATCATCATATGGGATGTGTTGATATAGCAGATCAATTATGTGGATATTATGGAACTCAATTATTAATTTACATTTAATATTAAAAAATAGTGATGTAAATATTAGTCATAAAGAACTTTGAATCTAATTAATATGGATTTAATTAAATCAAGTATTGAAAATAAAGATAGTGGTTCAAAAAAATCAAGTATACAAAATCAAGTAAAAGAAATAACACAAAAATTCAAGTTTATTGAAGTCAATCCAGTCAATAAAAATCAATATATTAAAGAAAAATCTGATCTTTCTTTATTAAGATATACATCAGAAGGACATTTTTATGAATGGTGAAAACAAAAAGTAGCTGCATTTGGTGTAAATATTTAAATAAAAGTCTTTAAAAAAAAAGTATTAAAAGATCCTCCACAATCACAATTGTATTGTATAAAATGTAATGTTGTAATGAGAGTTGAAATAGTTGTTTTAAAGACTATCACACACAGGAAGAAGAAATAATTAAAATTGATATTTATTTATTTACTTTTTAATAAAAATCCTTATAAATATTTACTTGAAATTATTAAGTTTAATAATTGCAAAATTTTTATAATTTTCATATGTAAAGTTTTTTCTTTCTTATATACTATTAAAAATGATACTAAGTAACCTTAATTTTAAGGATATTTTGCATCTACTATAAAAGTTTCAGAATGTTTTCTTGAGAATTGAGTGAATAGTAACCAATTTTGTTTTAAAATAAAATCGCTAATTACTCATCTAATTTATTTTCTAAAAATCTAAAACTTTTATAGTAGGTGTGCTACGTTCTCTAGAATAAGGTTACTTAGTATCGTTTTGGACAATACATAAGCTGTAAAAATACTTTTTATGTAGCTCCGTTCGACTGACATATTAAATTAATTTTTTTTGTTAATCGATTGAAGCTGCATATAAAAGTATTTTTTTGCTTTATAAATTATCCAAAAATGATACTAAATAACCTTATTTTAGAGAATGCAATGCATCTACTGTAAAAGTTTGAGATCTTTAAAAAATAAATTGAATGCGTAATTAATGATTTTAAAATAAAATCACTAATTGCTTATCGAATTTGTGTTTTAAAAATCTCAAACTTTTACAGTAGATGCATTGTATTTTCTAAAATAATGTTACTTAATATTGTTTTTGATGATTTATTTTTTTTTAACTTTCAAAGTCTTGTTAAACACTTTATTAAATAAAACAGTTGTCAAATTTACATGTTGTGTTCTAACTACCTACTCTAAACTAAACTATTACTAATTTAATCTAGATGACAGGTTGACTCATCGACATCCACAAAGTGGGAATTGATGGTCTGTATGATGATTCATAAGTAAAAAAAAATACTTTATATGCAGCTACGATCAACTGACAAAAAAATTCTTGAGATCAAGCGTAATTAATTTAATATGTCAGCTGATTGTAACTACAAAATAAAGTTTTTTTTACCCATAAACTATCCAAAATGATACTAAGTAACTTTATTTTAGAGAACATAATGTATGTTCTGTAAAATCTTAAGATTTTAGAGCTCAAATTAGATGAGTAATTAGCAATTTTATTTTAAAATCATTAATTACTTATTCAATTTATGTTTTAAAAATCTCAAACTTTTACAGTAGATACACTGCATTCTCTAGAAAAGGTTACTTAGTATAGTTTTTAGAAAATTATAAAGTAAAGAGACACTTTTATATGTGACAAATATAAACTAATATTTTTTAATAATTTTATTGTGATTTAGCTCTTATTTAAAGTCAAAATTCTAGTTCATAACTTTAAATATAGTAAAAATTAAAAATATTCTAAACAATAAGATTTACATTTTTTATTAAGATATCCTATAGCTCCGATAGATTTCTAATGAGATAATTAAAATTATAGAATAAATTTTTATAAAATCAGCACTTTACTGAAAAAAAACAATTTACAAATGCATAATTAACATGACTTTTATAAAATGGTTCGAAATTAATAACAAATAATGTTCCAAGATTGATCAGCTATTTATAAAAAAAATTTCATTAACAAATTTTAATTTTCATAAAGTTTTATATGTTACACATTTAAATAAAAAATTGTGGGCAATTTGTCCACAATTGCTTACCGTTTAAGGGATAGCAATTCGTTTTTCTGTTAACATCTTAAAATCTCTAATGCACAGTATATATAATGATATCATAATTCGATACACAGGATGGCACAGGAGCTCCATTAAATACTTTGAAAGGTCAATACATCATTAATATATCATTATACTGTCTTTATCATCATGATTTAAAGCCTCCTACCCAAATCCTTCAAAACCTTAGTGATCCTGTTCAACTGGACTGTTTAACGTGTAATCACTCAAACAGATTCAATCAGCATGATACGCAAAAAATTTGTTAAAACTGAGGCTACAATATCATGTGAAGTAGTCCTAATAAATGTTATATGCTTGAGTTTATCTTTTAACTACTAAGTGTTTTTTTACCTACTGCTAAATTCTACTATCTATAACTGGAAAATGTATTGTGCTATGCTACTTCGAAATTTCTCATTTATAGATTTTATACACGTATAATTTTTTCTTATCGTACAGTCATGTGATTTTCCAAAACAAATGTATGCAATTAAAATTTTATGTTTATCCAATTCTTGAAGATGCTCAAGGATAACTATATATGGGTCTTCGCAATATCAAACATATCTTAAAATATCTAGTTTTCTTCATACAATTCTTTCTTGAGTTGATCCCGTGACTGCTATTTGATAAATTATTGGGATCGTCTCTATAAAAGAATTCGATATATTTATCATGCTGTTCTCCTTGTACTTCAATTGCGAAATTGTAATAATAGTAGGGAATATCAAGTTCTAATCCATTTGGATACTCTGGTGTTCTTAAGAAATCATGCCAGCAATCTTCTGAAAGAAGTCCAAGATATTTTGTTATGAGATTCACAATAGCACAAGCATCGTTTAAAGACAATTTTGCAATTGTGAATAAAGCTTTTAATAGTTCTTATACTGTATCTCATTAAATTTTTCTAAGTTTAAAACATTATCCAACTTTTTGCAGATATAATGAGGATCCTCTTTTACTTTGGCTAAATCAATAATTACAATGAATCCCCAACCTTGCACGTTTTTATCAAGTATATCAACAATATTACGCCATTTTTTGTATATCATGAAACAATGTTAACTAGTTTATTTTATGTACCTGAACTGTTTAATAAACAGATGTAATTCAAATTTTTTCTTATTTTTCCAGGACAGTTAAAAATTATTGTGTAACATATGTGGAGCTAATATTAGAGTGAAGTAGGAAGTAATTTCATCTTGTATTTTTTTAAGCTCATTGCATACATTTTCAAATATAGTAACTATTTCTCTTTCGGAAGAGAATTCTTCTATCTTTGATAATTTATTAGGTTTCAATTCTCGGAATGTAATATCTTCATTATATAGTTTTGGACTATTTGCAATTATCTGATAACAATCTCAGAGATGTTTATATTTTGGTTCCTTGAGGTGATATCTGATCAAAATCAAATCATCATTTTTAATATAACGTGTTCCATCTTTCTCCCACTAACCATTCGGAAAGCTTATTATCAAACAAAAGACTAATAATCATGTTTATTTACTCTAATCTAGTTTGCCCACTGACTAATAAGTTGAAAGGCTACTGAGGACAAGAATTAATGTCACTGACTTTTTTCCCTTTTGCCTTTGCAATATTTTTTAAGAAATCAACATTTGATGAGGATTTCATTCCAAAAGGAGGATTACCACTAGAAATCTTATCTTCCAAAGAATAATTCCAAGACCAGAAATATCAGAAATTTTATTTTTGCCAATCATCTGAGGACAATTTTTAATAAATTTCTGTTAATTGATTTTACATTTTCAAATTCAGAATATCAAATTGTCCATCCAGGTTCCATTTTTTTCATTTATATTTTCTTGGATATGATTAATTATAACAATTACTATGGGTGCATGTTAGATTTTTTATAAAATTAATTTAAAATAATTTATTAAATTGATTTTATTATCTAATTTGATTAATATGATAAAATAAAAAATTTTTTACCTTAAAACTAATTACAATGAATATTTAAAAAATCAATTGCATATTTCTAATGAAAAATATAACTTTAGTTAATGATTTGGACTGGAGAGTTTAGGACAGTTTAGGATGTTTAGAATATATCAGACTAAACTTTAAAGGTGAAATTTAGAAAGGTTTTTGTTATAAGCAAAACTTACAATTGTTTAATTAGATTTAGGACTATTGATCTATATAAAAAAAAAAATTGAAATTATTAATAAAATTAAAAAGTTAAAAATTTAGAATGGGTAATAGACGTTTAGTCCGAATCATTAACTATAATAAAAAAAAATTGAAATAAGATTTAAGGCAATAAAAAATACATTCAGCCAAAAAAAAAATAAGTTTATTAATGTCATAATCATCTTTACAGTATTTAATTAAAAATTTTATTTTTATTTCTTCCAATAATTTATTGAGATACAGTATATATCTCCATTTTCATTTGCTTTATTTAACCAGTAGATGGCACTTATAATATCTTTCTTAGTTCCACATTCTTCATAATAGCATTTCCCAAGCCAATATTGGCTATTATAATCATTTTTTGCAGCTTTTTTTCCTATTCAAATGCTTGTACTTAATCCTCATCAATTCCTTTGTCATTTTTATAAAAACATCCCAAATTATATTATACTATAGAACATCCTTTTTAGCAGCCTTTTAATAATTTTTTTTCCTATACCATTTATACCATTGAAATAATAACACCTGACATTATATATTATATCAATATATATTTTTAGCAAGAGAGGATTTTATTTTCTTTTGAAATTATTTAGCTTCATTTTTTTATTTTATACCATATTCATAAAACCCAACATTTGACTGAGCTGTCAGATATCTTTTTTTGACTTTAAATATGTTTCAAATGCTTTTCTTTATTTTTTTTTCAACATTAAAATTTTCATAACAATATACTATGGTATTCAAAACTATAAGAGACACTTTTTCAACAATTTTAAAATAAATTTGAAAGGATCTTTTTCAACACCTAGACCCATTTAAATATATAATTGTAAGAAAGGCAATACTAAATTCTTTATTGATATTGTACAGCTTCTTTAAGAATGAAGAATTGGAAGATGATGCATTAATTATTTTATTGAATACTAAATTAATGAATTTAAATGTCATTTGATGATACAATTATTTGTGTTAGTGACTCATTTCTACCAAAGTGGATTTTCAAGTCACGGATTTTAAGGTAGATGGTGTAGCGGAGCTTTTCAAACGGCTAAAACAAATACCATTATTTCTACTGGAAGTTTCTGGTGATCCCAACAAAAAGGATCCGGATTAAATAAAAGATGATAGGACTAAGTTGATGAATGAAGGGGTTTTACCCCTTAATACATTCATGACAAAAAAAAACTTTACCAAAATTAGATATGTGTGCTGGCATTTTTAAAAATACTTTTAAGTAATTTTTTTCTTTATTTAATACTATATTATTTTTATTGTTATAGTTGATAATCTAAAGATTGGCCAAACTATTTATTTATATTCACCATTTACTGATCCAAGTCTTACCATTCCAACTTCAATTGATAATCTGGAACACGAACCTATATTAATTAGAACTTTTTTAAGTTTGCGGTATAAATTATCAAAAAGATTGAAATCTTTAAAAAATTTGCAAGACAAAGACAACTACAAATTGTTAAACCAACATCTAAATACGAAACTGGTTTTACATCAGAAAGACCTGGAGCCATAACATTTGCCAAATTTTTGCCGAAAATATGACAAGAAAAAAACTTATATAAGGTGAATAACACTGGACCAGTGGCTAGATATTCTAGATGCTATAAAAATACGGAGGCTCATCAAGATCTTGTACTTGATAATGGCCAACAAGTCAGAAAAAGGTATTTATATTTACTCACCTTTAATGACAAAAAAAAATTAAATTTTCAGATAACCTGGGGGTTGAATTCAGGAAGATAATAATTAATAAATAAATAATAATAGATATTTATTGAATAAACAACGAATCATTTACTTATTGTTTTTTAGGAATTTAATGAATAATTTATAACAAGCAATGCATGATTTATTGACATTAATGAATATTTAATGAATATAATTCATAAATTAATATTAAATTTATGAGCAAAAAAAAAATTGACAATAAACAGGCATAAATATTTTTATGAAGTTAAAAATATTTGCTAATTACTGTATACCCCAGAATATACGTAATTTTAATTGCTTATTTAATGTGATTGTCGTAATGCATTGCATGACAGGATATTAAATATAGTCCATTGTCAAATTCATCGTATGATTTTAATTTTGAAGTGTTAATCATATCCCAAGGAAAAACAAACGAAAAAGAATGTACGATCTCGATGGATGATTTAATTATCGAAGATACTTTTCAAAAAGAAAATATTCCATTTTATCAATATTCTGAATTTCAGAATGTAAAATTGATTAATGCCAATATACTTAAAGCCACTTTTAAAATTTCTCAAAAAACTGTTACTCTTAAAAATGTTTATTTAAACGATAGTAATAAATTTACATTGGATAATTTGATAAATGAAGTATTAAATTAAATTAATTGATTTATTCTATTATCAGAATTTGAATTTACCGCTAATTATTTTTAAATTTTCACTTTTTAAATGAAAGATTAAAAAGCATCGAAAATTGGAAATTCATGATAGTATTCTTAAATTCTATGGCATCACTAAGCAAGGTAAAAATGATTAAATATTGTGCTTAATATTTAGATACTATTAATTATTCACTTATCAGTTATTAATTTTATTTATTTTTATAGAGAATACCAATAATTATCTGCTTATCCTCGAATATGTTAATGAAGGTTCTCTTCGTCAATATTTGAAAACTAATTTCCTAAAATTGGATTGGAATGCAAGATTAAATCTCGCAAAACAAATTACAAATGTTTTGATGTTTTTACATTCTCTTGATATCCATGGGAAATGCGTAATTATTTTTTTTTTTTTTTATAAACATAAATTTCATAAATTAATTATTTTTAATTTTTTTTTTTTGAAAAAATTATTTAATTAGAACTCAGAAAATATTCTTATTCATAATGGAAACATCAAATTTAATGTTTTTGGATTAACAAAAATTATTTCCGTTTCTTTAAGTTTCCTTACAAATAATCTTGGTTCAATAAAATACATGGATCCTCAATATTTGGAATTCTTCAGCACGATTGGAAAAAATAAAAGTTCTGATATTTTTGGATTAGGGATTATTCTCTGGGAGATTTCTAGTGGTAAATCTCTTTTTGAAATGGAATCCTCATCAAATGTTGATTTGTTAGACAGTATTACAAAAGGAAAAAGAGAAATTTCTATACCTGGAACACCTCATAAATACAAGGAAATATATACTGGTATTAATTTAAATAATAAATTAAAATCATTTATTTTGTTTACATAATAAATTATTAATGTAATATTTTGACAGATTGCTGGAAGCACGATAGAAACTCACGACCTGATATTTCTCAAATTGTTAAAAATCTTTCTAAAATCATTATCTCTGATGTGAACGTTAAATTTGAAACTCCTCAATCGCAAACTTATAATGTCACAGATGTTAGATTGGAAAATTTAAATATGTAAGTTGCATTTATTAATGTTTTTTGCATATATTTAAATCTTAGAACATTTATTAAACATAAATTCTTCATTATTAAGACAAAATGAAGAACCTAAAATTAAATCAGATCCTCCTTTTGTTGATGTCACAACTGATGTTAATTGTTTCATTAATGATCTGTTTGAATTTTTCATTGATATGCGCAAAATACAATTCCGAGATATTCAACCAATTATAATCAAAAATTATATTAGAGAACACAAACAGAATCCAGTCAAAATTCTATATGAAATGATTAGCCATCCATCCTATCATTTGTTTACTAGCTTAATAGGATTTTTTTACCTGCACGGGATTGGGACTGTTGTTGATTATAAAATGGCATTCAAATTCTTTAGTTTGGCAGCCAATGAAATGATTGATACTTCCACTTTTAATTCCTTATCCTTAAAAAAGCTATACAATGTCAACAAAGAATTCAGTACCATCTCTCTTGCTGATATGTATTTATATTGTCTAGGTGTTGAAAAGAATGCAAAAAAAGCTTTTCAGATCTATTCTAAAGTTGCAGATGAAGGGTCTCATAGAGCTTTGAATACCGTAGCATATTGTTATGAAAATGGGCTTGGTGTTGAAAAAAATGAAGAAAAAGCATTTGAAACATATTTAAAATCAGCTAGAAAAGGATCTCTGACAGCACAATCAAATATTGGTGGATGTTATGAATATGGAATAGGAGTAATAGCAGATGAAGCTGAATCATTTCAATGGAGAATAAAATCTGCTCTTGCTGGAAATATTAGTGCTATGTATAATGTCGGGTGTTGTTATGACAATAGTATAGGCGTGGATGAAGATGAAAAAGAAGCATTCAAATGGTATATTAAAGCTGCTGAAGAAGGATTATCTATGGCACAACATAATTTGGGACATTGTTATAAATATGGTTATGGAATTAACATTAATCAAGTGAAATCATTTGAATGGCTTAAAAAAGCTGCAGAAAATGATGGTGCTGATGGCCAATACATGCTTGGTAAATACTTTTATGAAGGATATGGAACTAAGAAAGATATTGTAAATGCTATTTACTGGTTAAATAAAGCAAACGAAAATGGGTGTACAGTTGCCAATGAATTATTAGAAGAAATAATAAGTAATATGATGTAAAATTATAATATAATATATAAATATATAATTCCCATATAAATAACCGAAATTTTATCAATTCCAAATTTTATTACATGCCTAATTACTGATGCTTGATTTGTGAAGCAAAAAAAAAGGTTCATATATTATTCTTATTCAATTTTCTTTTCTTTATAATTCATTTAATTACCGCTTCATTATAAGATTGGTGAATATTAATAATATTATCATGTATAAGATTAAGATATCTGTGTTTTTGCCATCAATCTTTCTCCCATCATGAATCTCCTTGAACAAGTTTGGCAGCAAATATAGAATTCTCTCTTCTCGATGATCCAAGCACTTCTCTTAATTTTGAGAATGAATCTTTGAAAATTGTACCTCTTCCACTGCCTTTATCTCTTTCATCTTGTTTCCCTTCTCCACTATTCTGAGAATCCGATTTGTTAAATTTTGATACTAATTTCATGTATATGAGATCAATTTCCAGCTGAAAATAAACTTGTTCTGCATCACTTAATAATTTTAGGTATATTCACAAATTGATTCATTAAATATTCTTAACATTTAAAACTTTAAATTTTTTTTTGACTCAACTTTGAATTATTATTAGTACTCAACAACAATTGAGTAATATCCGATTTATGAATGATAACATCTTCATCTTATAAATTGTTAATCTTTCTCTTCCTCTTCCTCTTTTATCAAATTTGTTATTAAGAAAATTATCAATGACATCATCATTCCCACAAATAATATTATCAAAAATTTTGATTTTTCTAATTTTCCGTTATGATTAATGCTAAATTGATTAAATGATTTATAAATTTTTTGAATTCATGAGCCCAGTAATTTTAACAGAGAATACATCTCAAATACTTGTCAGTAACAAGGGAATTTATATTATATTTTATACAAAGAGATTATTCTTCTTCCTGTGAAGAGATCAGACAAGTCAAGAATTGATTTGATACATTACGTCAATTAATCGTACCTCTATAAAATATATATATTAGAAATATTAATATAAATATACTCTAATACAAATTAACATCACCAAATACAGTATATACTAAGTTAAATGCTTACCCACAAAATTAAGCAAAAAATGTCTTTCTTACAATTTCAAAAGTAGATTGAACTTTTTCAGAAAATTTAATCAATTGATTGAACATAATTTACTAACGAGACAACCAATCAATTCAGATAATTATTTGTTCTTAAGAAATATATATTCGTTAAAAAAAATATATTATTAGATTTTAGATTATTAAAAATAGTATAATTCCATATTAAAAAAACAAAATTTTCAAATTTCATGCAATTTATTTATCTAATCACAGATAAAAATATTTAAATATTAAACAAATAATGAATAATATTTTTATAGGAAATCTTTTAAAGAATAATAATATTTACACAAGGATTTGGTTTTATAATCAATATAATTATCGGATACTCCTTTCACCATTCATTAAATATGAAAAATATTTCAATAGAATCGTAATTGTATGTTAAAATCTTCCAATCTCTCTCTCTTTCTCTGAATCAGAACAAGTGTGCATTTTGTATTTTGAAATTTTATATAAAACTCTTTTTAAAATAAATCATTAAGGATTTTGATAATAATGGCTCAAAATAATCTTAAAACAGATTTAATGTGAAAATTTTCTAAATTTAAATAAAAAGAAGATTTAAATCTTCTTTGGGATTTGACTTAAAATTTTTACTAATTAATGTAATGTATGACAGGATATAAATCTATTGTCATTGCAGATCTGTATAATTAATTTTGAATTTCCAAAAAGAATAGGAAACCTGGATGGATAATTTAATTATTGAAATACTTTTCAAAAAGAAAATATCCCATTTTATCAATACTCTGAATTTCAGAATATAAAATTGATCAATGTCACCAACATTTTTAAAACCACTTTTAAAATTTCTCAAAAAACTGTCACTCATAAAAATGGCTATTTGAATAATAGTGCTAAATTTACATTGGATAATTTGATAAATGAAGTATTAAAATTAAATTCTTGAATTATTTTATTACATAGGCAAACTTGATAAGTCATCCACTGATGGCTGAGCCCTTGTGGCTGAGTTATTGAGGTGACCATGTTATCAAAATTCTTAATAAGTCAGCCAGCCAAGTTATCAAGATTTACTATTAATATATCAGCTGACCAATTTATTAAAAGTGATATGAATTAATATAAATTATTTAAAAATTAAATTTTATTTAATTTTATTGTAATTAAATCATAAAATATTATTTTTATTAAATGATTACATTAAAAAAAATTAAAAAAATTCATCTAAACTTGATTGTTTTGATAATGAAATTTGATTTAGACGAATTTGATATTGTATTTTTTTTAAATCTACTATAAATGAATGTTTAATATTTAAATTTTGTTGTTGTTGTAAATAATTATATATATTTTCAATACTTTTGAATGCTGTTTTATTTGAAACTGGTGGAATGGCATCATTGATTTCTTCTTCAACTTCAGGTGCTTCAAGAATACATGAAATAATTTCATTAACATCAAGAATTCCTGTTGTTTCTAAACTGGAATCAATATTAATATAATCTTTAGCTGTAATATTTGTGCATTTATCTATTTGATTAATTAACAATTGTAATGATCCTCCTGTATTTTCATTTGTGTTATCATCTATTTCATTTTCAAATTCATCTAAATTTTCTTCTGGTAAAATACCTGTTCTTTGCCAACTTTGATAAATAATATCATCAGTTACATTATCCCATGCTTCTGCAGTCCAAGTTATTGCATTAAATATATTTAAAAGAGAAATTTAAGTACCAAAATCATTATATATATCAATTGCATCAATTCTGTCTTTGCAAGTAATTTTTGGTAATGAACCTAATAAATAAAAACAATTAATTAACTTATTTGAAAAATTAATATAAATATAATTTTAATAATAAATATATACTTTGAATGAATGAATAATGCCCTGATCAATTGGTTGAATATGTGAAGTGAAAGAAAATGTAAAGTAATATTACTTAATATTTCATTTTCTTCTAATTTATAAGATGATGCATTATCAATTAAAAGCAAAATTTTATATTTTGAAGTCACATTTCTTGATCAAATTGTTTTAACCATCATTGAAGTATTGATTTTTGCATCCAAGTAGAACAATTCCAATAAAACTTAACAGGAAGTGATGCTTTGTTTATTTCTAAGACAATGTGGCTTTTTATATTTGTGAATAAACACAGGTGACAATTTGTGAGTTCCAGTTGCATTACATGTAAGCATTATTGTTACTCTATCTTTTGGGTTTTTAGTTCCAGTTATAGGTCCAGTAGCAAGTGATTTATTGGGTCTAATTTCCAATAGAGTCCTGTTTCATCAGCATTATATACATCATCCAATTCATATTGTGAAATCAAATCTTGTAATTCAGATCTGAATGCTGGCAAATCTTCAACAGGGGCCCTTGCTGCTTTTCCTGCTTTATAATATTCTTTAATATTATTTCTTTTTTAAAATTTGATAGCCATCCCTAATTAATATATTTATACAAATAAATATTAATAATATTAATAAAATTAATAGTATCAAAAAAATATATAATATTTACCAAAGATGCAGTGAAATTTGTAATTTTTAACTTTTTTGCAAAATCTTTTGCCTTTTGTGTTAAAATGGTTCCTGATATTGTATTATTGCTTCTATTTGTAAAATCAATCCAAATTACTAGTGCTTCTCCAATTTTTGGCCATTCATTTTTTTGTTCTCTTTTTTTTTTGGCATTTGATGAATTTTCAGTAATTGAAAATTATTTCCGATTCTTTAAGTTTCCTTACAAATAATCTTGGTTCAATAAAATACATGGATCCTCAATATTTGGAACTCTTCAGCACGATTGGAAAAAATAAGAGTTCGGTCTAGGGATTATTCTCTGGGAGATTTCTAGTGGTAAATCTCTTTTTGAAATGGAATCCTCATCAAATGTTGATTTGTTAGACAGTATTACAAAAGGAAAAAGAGAAATTTCTATACCTGGAACACCTCATAAATACAAGGAAATATATACTGGTATTAATTTAAATAATAAATTAAAATCATTTATTTTGTTTACATAATAAATTATTAATGTAATATTTTGACAGATTGCTGGAAGCACGATAGAAACTCACGACCTGATATTTCTCAAATTGTTAAAAAATCTTTCTAAAATCATTATCTCTGATGTAAACGTTAAATTTGAAACTCCTCAATCGCAAATTTATAATGCCACAAATGTTAGATTGGAAAATTTAAATATGTAAGTTGCATTTACTAATGTTTTTTGCATATATTTAAATCTTAGAACATTTATTAAACATAAATTCTTCATTATTAAGACAAATGAAGAACCTAAAATTAAATTAGATCCTCTTTTTGTTGATTTCACAACTGAAGTTAATTGTTTCATTACTGATCTGTTTGAATTTTTCATTGATATGCGCAAAATACAATTCCGAGATATTCAACCAAATATAATCAAAAATTATATTAGAGAAAACAAACAGGATCCAGTCAAAATTCTATATGAAATGATTGGCCATCCATTCTATTATTTGTTTACTTGCTTAATAGGATTTTTTTACCTGTATGGAATTGGGACTGTTGTTGATTATCAAATGGCATTTAAATTCTTTAATTTAGGAGCCCATAAAATAATTGATAATTCCTCTTTTAATTCCTTATCTTTAAAAAAGCTATACAATGTCAACAAAGAATTTAGTACCATCTCTCTTGCTGATATGTATTTAATTTGTAAAAATGTTGAAAGTGATGCAAAAAAAGCTTTTCAGATCTATTCTAAAGTTGCAGATGAAGAGTCTCATGAAGCTTTGAATCTCGTAGTATATTGTTATGAAAATGGGCTTAGTGTTGAAAAAAACGAAGAAAAAGCATTTGAATTATATTTAAAATCGGCTGAAAAAGGATCTCTGACAGCACAATCAAATAGTAGCGGATGTTATGAATACGGAACAGGAATAACAAAAGATGAAGCTAAATTATTTCAATGGAAAATAACATCTGCACTTTCTGGAAATATTGATGCAATGTGGAATGTCGAGTCTTGTTATGATAATGGTATAGGCGTAGTTGAAGACAGAAAAGAAGCATTCAAATGGTATCTGAAAGCTGCTGAAAAAGGAGATTCTATGGCACAAAATAATTTGGGACATTGTTATAAATATGGTTATGGAATTAACAGTGATCAAGTGAAAGCATTTGAATGGTTGAAAAAAGCTGCAGAAAATGATGATATTGGTTGCCAATACTTGCTTGGAGAATGTTTTTATGAAGGATATGGGACTAAGAAAGATATTATAAATTCTATCTATTGGTTAAATAAAGCAAAAGAAAACAAGAGCGCAGATGCAAATGAATTATTAAAAAAGAAATAATTAGTAATATAATGTAATAGTTAAAAATAAACAAATTTTTAATTAAATATTGTAAAGACGATTATGACATTGTTTTTTTATTAATAAATTACTGTAATTATATTTCTCATTAGAAATATGCAATTAATTTCTTAAATATTCATCACATTAATTAAATTAGTATCTTAATTTAATAAATTAGCTTTTTTTTTAAAAAAAAATAAAATAACTAGCATTATTCTTTAACATATTCCATACATGATAATTTATTTGGTGTAATGCTACATGCGCGTAATAATTATTATGTCCCAAGCAATGCTAATGTAAACCTGATGGTTATGGAAAAAGAGAGAGAATGTAAAATTGATTGGCTGAAATGTTTATATAAAGCACTTTAAAGTTTCTCAAAAAAACTGAAGTGTTTATTTATATGATAAGTTAAGTCTACACATGATAATTTAATAAATCAAAAGCCATGAAAATTGGAACTTAGTCTCTCCAAAAAAAGTAATAATACAAAATAAGATCATGGGGGTGATAAAGCAAGTCAAGCTCAATAATCCCACGTTTTTAAATTTTTGATGGAGTAGTAACCAGATTTTGGCCACATTATATGTGATAACGGCCAAGAATATTGCAAATTTCAATTGAAAAGGGATAGGATAGTTTTATAATAAGAGATGAGTTTTGCATAATTTTACTAAGTATAGATGATAGTCAATTTATTCTGATTTATAAATAGGAATTCTGATTTTTTTGTATTTTTCATAAGTAGAATATTCAATTTGTAACATAAATAAGAATTCCTTAAAACTAATATTATATACTAACCTATAATTTAATTAAATATATTAAAAAAAAAATAAATCAATAACTTTTTAATTTTTTTTTATTTCTTTATTATATAAAAATATAAAATTATATGAGAGATAATTATTGTAAAGTTTTAAAAACTAGAAAAAAATAAATATATATATATATTCTATTTTAAAGAGAAATTGTATATTAAATAATTTTACTTAAATTACCCAAAAATCAAAGGTTATCATAAACTTACACAGAATTTATATTTGTTTTATAAATCAGTAAATTGTGAATTTGGTACTTCTGGATGTAGAATTGTATAATATTTACGTTTACAAGCTTCCGGAGATCTATTTGGTAAATAATTAGAAATTTGTTTCCATTCTCCTTGATAAAGTCTAACGAGATTAATTAATTTATTTTCTTCATTTCCTGTCCATGGAGACTTTTTTTCTATTTCATTTTGATCTTTTAAACCAAGTTCTTCTCGATATTGACTATAATAGGTTCTTATGGAAATAGATGTTCTTCCAGGAAAGAATTTTGCTATTCTATCAAAATCTTCATCATATTTTTCTATTAAATCTTTTAATAATTTTCTTTCGGCTATTGACCAATGAATTAACTTACGTTTATATTCAAGATGTGAAGTAACTTTTATAGTTTCAGCAAATAAATCTTTATGAGAATGATAATATTCAAGACAATCTTCTCGAGTTTTTCCAGGTAAATAATCTGCAATCGTTTGCCAATCTTGACCATGTACTTCGTAAAGACATCTAAATTTAGCCACATCTTCTGAACTCCATCGACGCATTTCATGTTGAAAAATGTTAAGATTAGTGGAAATCAAAGAATTATGATATACCAATTGTTGTACATCGCTAGGTTTTTTATCAGGAAAATGTTGTGCTATGAAATCCCAATCTGGACCATATTTTTGAAATAATTCAATAAAACAAATAATATCTTTAATTGCCCAATTCTTTCCAACATGATTACTTATCCTTGATAAAATAACAAATCTTAACCAACATGAAGAAGGTGTTCTTCCTGGTAAATTTTCAGCAATTTTAAACCAATTTGAATCAAATTCCTTTACAAGGGTCAATAACTTTCTTGATTCAGTTGCTGACCAACGATTAGAATTATTATTATTATTATCAGTTTGTTTGATTTCAAAGATATCATTTAATTCCATTTCCATCTCCGATTCATTTAATTTATCCATGGTTAATAATTCCGGATTTGATCTTAATTGATATTTAATTGAACTTCGAGTTTTATGTGGAAAATAAGGTTTAACTTTATCTAAATTATAATCGTACTTTCTTATAAGATGCCTTAAAAGTATTTTATCATGTTCTTTCCATTCACTATATCTTGGAGGAATATCATGAAAAATTCTTAAATTATTTGCTTGACAAAACATTGGTGTTATACCAGGTAAAAGTAAAGGTAATATTTGCCATCTACCATATTTAGCTATAATAAGATCTAAAACTTGACTTAATTCTTGAGGCCACTTATGTAATGTTAATTCCGTTCTATCATTATGAAAATTCCAACAATCATTATATTTTAATTTACATGCAGTTGGAGTTCTACCAGGAAGATTCGCTGCTACAGAAATCCAATCAGGACCAAAATGAGCAACAAGATTATTTAATAAATTTACTTCACGATCAGACCAACGACTTGCAAATTTAAACCATTTTTGAAATTTAATATTTCTAAGAGTTGGTAAATCTAAATAATGTTTTGGTAAAGCTCTAATTACTGCCATGGTTGATCTACCATGTAAATATTTTGCTATTAAATCATAATTTTTACCATATTTTGCTAATAAATCATTTAACATTTTTATTTCACTTTCGGACCATGTTTTGGCTCTACCTAATCTATCCGGAAATTTAAAAAAGGCCGAAAATTTTTCGGGATTTTTGGTAACAAAATTTTCAATTGTTCTTATATCTTTTGTTGGAAAATATTTTTCAATTTTCACCCATCTACGTCCATATTTTGTAAGTAAATTATCTAATAATTTTATTTCTTCATCAGTCCAAATATCTTTTTCAGGTTCTTTTTCTAATATCTTTTCTTTTTTTATTCGTTTAGCTTCAGGAAGCATTGCGACCATAGCCATATAAGTATTACGACAATCACTAGCTGTTCGAACCACCATATGTTTTGAAATCATATCCCAATTTTGTCCATGCTTTTCAACCAAATTCTCTAAAACTCTTAATTCTAATCTAGACCAAATTGTATTAGTTTTACCGGGTCGATCTTTCTTGGATCCTTTTTTGGTTTTAATTTTTTTCTTTTCACCACTACCAATGGTTAAATTTTCAAAGAGTTCATCCTTGTCGAGATCTTCGGAAGTTAAAATTTTATTACGGTAGTTAAATCTACTACTAGTTACATAAGTATTTCGAGGTACCTCGAATATTGAATTCCTTATAACGCAAGTCGAGTAAGTTGAGTTTCGATAACCCAAGAGCCATAACTTTGAAATATAAGTTGGTTTCATTATACCTTATTTTTTTTTGTCGATTTTCAAAATCATGACTAATTTAAATTTAAAATTTTTAAAGGAAATTTTTATGTCGTACATACTAATTTTTTTTACCAACAATTGATTTATAAAAAAAAAAAAAAAAAAAAAATCGATATCGTAATACAATCTATCTTTTCTTTTTAAATCTTTTTTAAATCATGAGTAGTGAATCTCTTCTTAAACCATCACCTCTTATACCAGTAACACGAACAGATATTGTACAATCACTTATAGATGGAGTAGATAGATATAACCCAGATAATGTATCAATTTTGGAAGATTATCTTGGACAACAACTTCAGAATGAAGAATATGACTTAATGGCAAATTTGGCAATTTTAAAATTGTTAGTATATTGAATTAAATTATTTTTTTGAAATCTTGAAATCTTTAAAAAAATTTTTTTTTTTTTTTTGAAAAATTGATGGTGATATGATGAATGAGTATTTTTATTTTATTAATGAACTCAACTACATATTTAATATATGCTAGTAGTTAGAGTATTGAAAATTATATTACTTGCCCTCACTGATTTCACCGATTTCACCGATTATAATAATAATAAATAATCCAATTCATGAATAAAAATTTGATATTTAACTATTATTATTATCAATTATTATTATTCATCAATTATTATTATTCATCAATTATTATTATTCATCAATTATTATAGATATCAATTTAATCCTCATTTGGTCAATGAACAAGTCATTAATAATATTCTAATAAAAGCTCTCACAGCAATACCGAATCCAGATTTTAATTTATGTTTGTATTTATTACATGAATCTTCTGTATCCTTTTTTTCAATAATAATAAATAATAATAATTTTAATAATAAATGAAATTAAAAAAAAAAAAAAAAAAAATTCCAGATAATAAAATTCTAAATAACAAATCCTTAATCAAACAATTATAATATATAATAATAAATAATAAAGTTGGCAGATGAAAGTATAACGAAATTAACAGAATTACAACAATGTTTGGAACAAGCACGATTTCGAGAATTTTGGGAAATTTATGGAGATGAATCATGTAAAGAACTTGCCAGTGAAGCGATAGGATTTGAAGATGCAATACGTAAAGGTAAGTAAGATATTATTTATTTAATATGAATTTATCATCGGAATGAATATGACGTAATGATATAATGATATTAATACGTATATATAAGACTTTCTATATTTAAATATTGATTAATATATATTATAATGATTAATATTAAATAATGGTTAATATTAAATAATGCTTAATTTATTATAATGCTTAATATATAATAGTAATATTGACAACAATTACTATGGCATATCAAAGTATTTCAGTTAATTTATTAAGTTCTTATCTTAATTATAATCCTGGTAAGTGAATTAATAAAATATATTTGATATTATTTTATATTTATTATATTATTTTAAAATTCCTATATAAAACATATAAATATATTGTTTACGTTAAAAAAAAAAATAAAAAAAAATAGCGGATAAAGAATTTGAAAGTTTTATTCAAAATCGAGGTCTTGAAATCAAAGAAGAGGTTGTATATATTCCTAAAAATGCTGATAATGATGCGAAACCAACAGTAATTAGAGAAAATATTAAATTTGAACGTACGTGATTATTATCATTTAATTTATTTATTTATTTATTTCAATTTGATTTGATTTTAATTTAATTTTTAAATTTTAATTTAATTTAATTTTTAAATTTAAATTTTTAATTTAATTTTAAATTTTTAATGTAATTTTAAATTTTTAATTTAATTTTAAATTTTTAATTTAATTTTACTTTAATTTTAAATTTAATTTAATTTATTCAATTATTTTAGAATTAACAAAAGTTGTAGGTTATTCTAATGAATTATAATTGTTTTATAATAATTGTAATCTATAATTATACTTTTTCCGAGTATTCATTTTAAATAGTTTCATAGTTTAAATTAGTTTAAACTGGATTTATACACTGTATATGTATGTTTATTTATGAATGATATATCTGTCTGTTTACTAAACTGTTGAATAAATAAAAATTTTGTTAATAAATTTAAAAGAAAAGAAAGAAAAAAAAGTCATCAAAATTATTCTAATTCTTTTTTCTTATTCATTCATTCATTCATTATATTATTCTTATTATTCATCATTATTATTGTTGTTGTTTATTGTTGTTGTTACTACTATTTTATTATTGTTATATACAGATGAACTGAAAAAAAAAAAATTCGAAATTTCTAAAAATAATCTAAATAAAATGTTTTTATTTTTTTTAATTTCTAAACATTGAAGCCCAATGTGGAGGAATTCCCCACCCATGTTGACGTGCTACTCTGATATATGCATCCATCGCCTCCTATAATAATTATTGTATTTAAAAAGAAATTAATTATTTGGGAATTTAATTTAATTGTAATTATTATAACTCTTTAACGTATATATATATATATATATATTACTTACGCGAGGACTATAATCACTCTTCCAATTTTTATCAAGTCGTGCTGGTGGATCTAAAGAACTTAAGGCTAATTTAACCTAAATAATTTAATTGGGATGAAATAAATAAATTTATGAATTAAAATATTTAAATTAATTAATTAATTAATTAAAATTAATTCACAAAATTAATCAATAATAATTCATTTAATTTATTTAATTCTCACCTGCAACAAAACTGCTTCCATTGTATATTCAGCTGACCAACCTTGTTCATGAGAATTACCTAAAGTTAAAAGGTCCATACAAACCGAACCTCCTGCAGTTACCTAATAATGTAAATAATAAAAAATAAAATAAAGATTAATATTAAAATAATAATAATAATAATAATAATAATAATAATAATAATAATAATAATAATATAAATATAATCTTATTATATATATAAATATAAAAATCATCCATCAAATAAATATAACCTTACATGACCACCTCCACCATACATAAATCTAAGAAGTCTTGGTCGAATAACACGAATATATCTAGAATAAATGTGTATATATAATATAGATGTATATAAATATAAATATAAGCAACAAATGTAAGCCACAAATTTAAGCAAACAAACAAATAACAACAAATATAATAACAATTAATAATAAGATAGAATAATAAATACGGTGGTAATTTTGGATAATCTGGAGCAAATCGAACTTCCAAATCAATACATTTTACTTTATGTCTAGCCATATCTTGAGCTAATGGAATGCTGGGATCAAAATCTTTAATTTGAACAACCTATAAAATTGATTTTTAAACTAAATAATTAAAAAAAAAAAAAAATCATCATCATTTTTTTTAAAAAAAAAAAAAAAAAAAAAAAAAAGAATTTACCCATTGATAAACTGATTGTAATTTATCAAGTTTTACAAAAAAACCTAAATCATTTGCAGGTGTATCTTGTTTATGTACAATTATTCTCAATTCTCTATAAATGCGTTGTGTAGCTTCCTTGGTTGAAGATGCTATTAAAAAAAAATGATGATGAATCAAAAAATAAATAAATAAATGAATGAATGAATGATATTATTATTTTATAGCGATGTTACTTACCAGGAAGTGGCAAAAGACTTGGATCAAAATCTATAAATAATAAAATTATTGATTAATTATTGATTAATTAATAAATTCATCGATATCCTTTTAATATTTCATCAATATTATTTTTAATATTCTTTAATAAAATCAATATTATCATCAAAAAAAAAACAAAAAAAATTAAAAAGTTATTTAAAATTACCGGCGTCAAATTCTTCTTCATTACTCTGAATATTAGGATTATTATTATTATGCCTGGTTGCTACTGTTCTTGAATGTGATGAAGTTGAAGGTGTTGATGATGAGGTTGATGATGATGCTGCTGTTGATGATGCCATTGATGATGCTGTTGATGATGATCTCATTGACGAAGCAAATATATTATGAAACTGTATCGTGGATCCCGTAGCATCTAAATATAAATTAAAATCATTGAGTTTAGTTAAAGGTCAATTTATTTAATCAATCAATTAATTAATTAATTATTGGATTTAGTTAAAGATCAATTTATTTTTATGTTTAAAATGTGAAGATCCAATAAGAGAAATGTTGAACATTTAATGGGAATATATAATAAATATCTCTTGAATGTCTCGAATGTATAAATTTAAAATAATTTAAAACAAATATCATTTCATAACTTATGAATAATGTTAACTTTTTTTTTTTTTTAAACAATGTCAATTATATAAACTTATGTATATAGAAAACATGTGTGAAAATAATGTAATAATGTAATAAATGTAATAAATGTAATAATGGATTATTACCTTCTCCAACTTCTCGTGCATTCCGCCTCGTTCTCGAATGTGATCCACTAAACGGAAATTTCCTTGGGTTGCTCATATCTAAATAATAAACATATATTATAACATTATTAATTTAGTAAAGAATTATAAAATATATATGTGTGTATATATATACATCTACATATATATGTTTTATAGTATTCACATTCAAATAACAATAAGAGAATTCGTTATTTGATTTTAAAAAATCAAAGAAACATACAAACATTCAAAAATGTATAAAAAAAAGGGGGGGGAGAAGAAAAAGGAATTAAAGGATTTATGTTTGATTTTTATAAAATATTCTAAATATTCTAAGAGAGTAATTATTATTTTTTTTTTTTTAAACGGAAAGGAGTGTAGTGATATATATACTATCTTAACTAATTCTAACTAATAAGAAATCTTTGCTAAAAATCATTCATCTGGAATCGGAAATCATTATTAAATGCGTATCCGTTATTTAATTCTATAAATAATTGCTAAATTAAACAAAGAGGCACTGGTATAATAGAAAAACCAATAAAGTATATAAAAAAAAAAAGCACCCAGTCGGAGCAAAAAAAAATTTTATAATTCAAAAAATTTATGTTTGTGATAGGTTTCACCATTTACCTTGATATATCTATTATATAGATTTCTGCGGTAATGATGTGATATTTTTCAAAATTTGATGGTAAATTTAAAAATATTTTGTATAGTTCAATCGTTGAATAAAGTCCGTCGCATTAGAAAATTCTATATAGTTGAAAGATATGATTGATATGATTGATAGATAGTTAGGATATGAAAGAAGGAGAATTTCCCAGATAATACTAGAAAATGACTTTAATTAAATTATTTGTTATACACATTTTATGACATTTATATATTTTTCATTGACTTGTTAGTAAAATTAATAAAGAATTAGGTAAGACACAATATCCAAATTTGGCATTAACGATAAAACGATAAACCAATTATTATTTCATAATGATCTAATCTATACTTAGATTTTTTATTTTTTATAAGTCGGATTAAAATTGTTTATAATTTTTTTGATTCTTTTAAATTTTTTTTTTTTAAATAACAAACACACAACAAATACAATGTCGACATATTCTACTTCCGAATTTTCACCCGCTGATGCTTTTAAAGCTCCCTCAAATTTAAATAAACCAGTTCAACAACATTTGATCAAGGTTTATGGAACTCTTTGCGGTCTTTCCGTGATCGCTGGTTTGGGAGTTTATGCACATGTTTATGGTTTATTCTTCTTTGGAGTAAGTAATTTTTTTTTTTTTGTATTTTAATATTTAAGCCTATTTCTATTTGTTTATTAATAGAATTCCTATTTTCTCATTACTCCGTTTATTTTATTTTTAGGGTGGCTTGGTTTCGTTTTTGTTTGGCATTGCCGCGTTGGTTGGCATAATGTCAATGCCTAATACACCAGAAAACAAATTAACTCGTTATGGCCTTTTAGGTGTAAGTTCTCATTTATATTATTATTAAATTTAAAAAAGTTATTTTAAGTTCTTTATATTTTATTTTTTTTTTTTTATTACAAATATATATATATATATAATATAAAAAATGATCTAATATTATGAAATTTCAAATTTTCAAAGGTTTTCGGTTTTATGGAAGGACTCTCTATTGGACCAGTAGTTAAATACGCACTCGCGATTAGTGTTTCGTATGTAATAATTTAATAATATATATATTTTTTATTATTATGTTACTATTTATACTAATCTATTTCATATATATATAAATATGAATCTTGATTTCTTTTTTTACAGTAATAATATATTAATTAATGCATGCGTCGCGACTGGTTTAATGTTCAGCGCCTTCACATTAAGTTCTATGTTTACAAACAAAGCATATTTCTTGTACCTTGGAGGAATTTTGGGTTCCGTTTTAAGTTTATTATTATGGACATCATTTATTAATTCTTTCGTTGGTTCCAAATTTATCTTTGACATTGAAATTTATGTTGGATTATTAATGTTCAGTGGTTATGGTGAGTAGTTATTTTACGTGTTTTTTAATATAATTTAATATTATTTAATATATTTTGATTTAATCTAACATAATCTAACATAATTCTAATATAATTTTTTTATATATAGTAATTTATGATACTCAACTTATCATTTTCCGTGCCACCGAATTGGGTATAAGAGATGAAATTAGTGACGCTCTTACTTTGTTCATTGATCTTGTGGGAATCTTTGTAAGAATTTTGTCGATATTTGCTGATAAATCAGAAAATGGTAATCAAAGACAAAAAGAAAGACGTAGTCGTAGAAAAGCAGGTTATTCAGGTCAATAAGGGCAATAAAAAAAATTTAAATAAATCCAGTTATGAAAGAGAAGGAAGGAAAGAGAAGAAAGAGAGGTGAAAGGATAATTCCCTCATTTAGATTAGTTAGATTAAATGTTTAATTAACATTCATTTATTATTAAATTAGATTAATTATTCACAAACGTAACTAACTTTTTAAAAAAAAATCAAAAAAAAAATATAATTCTTCTTTTTTGTAATTTTTTTTTTCTGTGCATAATTATGATAATATTGATTATATTGTAATTATTTATTAATTTTTTATTACTGTTTATCCTTATTCTCATTATTATTATTCTTATTATTATTTTGTAGTGATCATAATTATTCTTTAATAATAATAAAGTTTTGTTTATAAAAGATTAATATTTTAATGGTTGATTATAATAATATCAATTTCATTCAAATGTCAATATTTTCTGATTATTATAAATGTTAAAGTTTATTGTTACTTTATTTCATTCAATTACATCATAATATATTTCTTGATACAAGATTTTTTTCTTTTTGTTTCAAGATTTTTCATCAATTTTAGATGAATCAGAATAATCTATCTCTAAAATATTTAAAATAAAAATAAAGAAAACAAGAAAACGAGAAAGAGAAAAAGAAAAAACAAATAAAGAAGAAAAAGAGAAAAAAAAAAAGGATATAATAAATTCAATAGTAGTAATATTAAGATATATAAAAAATAAAAATAAAGAAATTTGAAAAAAAAAACACACAACGAATATAAAATATATAAAATGAAATAATAAATCATGAAATCATATAATAATAATATTCAAATAACAATACTCAAATAATAATAATACTCAAATAAAAAAATATACCGTATAAATATATATATATATATATATATAAATTTTGTTGACCCACAATTTTAATAAAAAATTGTTACTTATTATTATTATTATAATTGTTGTTATTATTAAAATCCTTAATAATAATATGAGAATGAAAGTTGAGAGAGCGTGAGTGAGAGAGTAAAAAAAAAAAAGCGACAATGAATTTGAAAAATATTATTATATATTATTATTCTTCTTGGGAAAATCACTACAACAACAACAACGATGATTAAAGAGACAAAAGAGATCAAATAATAATAATAATATATAATATAATATATCACCCATTATTATTCCTTAATATTTCCAAATTAATTGTCAATAATATAATCATTTGATATAATCATTTTTTGAACTGGTTCCAAATTATTATTATTATTATTGCCATTAGTAAACGAAATTGCCAGACCAGAACGAATGCCAGGATGAATAAAGAGAAAGAGAGAGGGAGAGTAAATTACTTTTCTTGAACGAGTAAAATTTTTTTGTTCCCTCCCAAAAAAAAAGTTAAGTAAAACAACATATGTTATAAACAAACAAACATCTTATAAAAGATGATTATTATTATTATTATTATTATTATTATCACATTGTAATAATTCTTTCTCTTCTTTCTAAATTTTTTTTTTGATTTTTTTTTTTTTTTTAATTTTAGTTTCTTTTTTGGTTGATTTTTTTTTTTGTTGAAAAGTTTTTGGTGATGTTTCATTTTGTTAATATTGTCAAGATTGTCATTAATAGTAAATAGTTTTTAAAATTGTCTTTTTGAATCAAATATATATATCTATTTTTGTATCATTTTTCTGAACATTTATATAAAAATATTGACCTTTAATATTTGTAAAAAAATTTTTGAATAAAATTAATCATCTTCAGTAAATTATTCATGAAACCAGAGCCTGACGTTTTGACATTTCAATTCGATCATTAGGTGGAGTCTAGATAATTAAATTAATAAATTAATAATGATATGAATGTTCTTAATGTTCTTTAAATATTATTTAAAATTTAAAATTCATCATCATTTAAATTTATATTTATATTTATATAATAATTACCTCCGCCTTTCGTTTACCGAGAACTCCATTTTCAGTAGTAGAACTCTTAATTTGAGCATTTTTACTTTTGGGAGATTTGGGAGATCCTTTTAGTGGTGATTTAGGAGATCCTTTGGTTTGAGTTGATCTTTTAACATGTTGTTGGTTCTTTTTTTTTTAAAAAAAAAAAACAAAATAATAATAATAATAATTATGTTATTCCGAAATCATACATAAAAGACATAAATAATAAAAAAAATCAAATTAGATAGAAATGCTTTACCTTGAGAGCATCAGCGTGACAAGTAGCGTGATAAAAAATTCCTTCAACTTTAACAGCATTTCTATATAACCATTCTTCATCTGTATCATTCCAAAAGGATTCAAATTTTTCTTTACAAATGGGACAAGGTTTATCAACTTTTTCAGGATCCGAAGGTGCAATAACAGTTGATTCGCTTGAAACTTCATCTTTCTTATTGGTTTGAGACGAACCGGTTGGATTTTTTTGATTTTTCATATTTTTAACAGAATTGGTATTATCGAAATCAAAGAATGCGGGTGATTGAGTATTTTTGGTATCAGCTTCTCTTGAATGAATCCAGTCCTATAATATCAATCACAATAAATGATAATAATAATATAATGATAATGATGATCATGACAATAATAATGATTATATAATAATAATAATAATAATAATAAATTAATATATATTTTGACTAACCTCTTCACCAACAAACCAACATCGACTTTGTGTCTTTTTGGCTCTTTCCTTCATTCTACGATTTTGACGAAAATGCCAATCTAAATGAGAATCCATCTTCGCTTTACCTCCTTCATCTCTAGCATATCGAAATCCACATTGCTTACATTGAAGAGGAAATGCGTCATAAAGAATTGAAATTGCTCCTTCACGTTTACTAAAAAAAAATAATAATAATAAAATGTATGAGTAATGTTTTATATATATATATATATATATGTTTTAAATTATGTTTAGATAAATTTTGATTAATTAAAAAATTAAATTAATAAAATTAGTTAATTAATTAATTAATGTTTCCTTACCGTTGAATTTCATTACTGGTGAATTGAATTTTAGGTAAATCATTTACATGTAATATCTTTATAGGTGTTCCATTTAATTGAGGTGGTGTAGGAGTAAATCCACCTATATTAGGAGTAGTTATTGTAGTTGAGGCGGTGGTGTTGGTGGTGGTGGTTGTTGTTGATGATGATGATGGTGTTATAGAAGGACCAATAACGGTAATAGGATTATTATTATTATTATTATTATTAGTATTAAGAGGAGGTATCGCCAAATTTCCCATAATATTATTATTATTACCAATTAATCCAAATTCCATTAAATTTTTAACTAATAAATTAGGATCAGTTAAAAGATTGTTATGTGATGAAGTATTATTATTACCAAGAGGGACTACTACAGGATTTGGGGTAACCGTAACTGAAGTTGTATTATTATTATTATTATGATGATGATGATGATGATGAATTGGTAAGGGATTTGTTGTTGCTACATAAGGTGTAGTTGTGGAAGGATTAACAATGGTAGTAGCTGCGGCGAGTAGGGTGGATAATGTATTAATATCTTGTTGAGTTCCGGTAATAGTCGGAGTGGTAAGATTAGGAGGATAAGGTGTTAATAATGTTACAGGTGGCGGTGGTGGTGGTGCTTGAGTTGTAGTAGATGTAGTTGATAATTGAGTAGCGAAAAGTTGTCGAACTTGTTGAATTTGATCATTGGTTAAAGGTGCCTTTTGAATTGCTTCGGATAACTAAAAGATACATCCCGTTTTATATACACACACACAAACACAAATAAAGATCAAATACAAATCAATACAATCAATACTATTAATATGAATCATAATACGTTATAATAACGATAACAACAACGACGAAATTAATCATAATTTGATCCCAACCTGTTGCAAATTTACAATTTGATTTTGATTATGCAAATCACCAGGATTTTGTAATGCAAGTTGTTGACGTTGCAAAATTAATTGACGACATTCCTGTAATAATCTTTGTTGATCTGAGGGTGGAACGAATACTTGACTTTGTTGTTGTAACAACTGCGGAACGGGTGTTTTACTTGAATACTATTGTTTAATAAAGGGTGTTGATAAAAATTCAATTATTAGTATCAAAAATTAAATATTTCTCATTTTTTTTTCTTTTTTTTTTTTATGTTGTTATGTTATGTTCGTGGCATCAACACCCTGAAACACTCCGAGAAGCATCATTTCATCAGGCGGACCAAAGCGAAATGGTTTTGGTTTTTAAATAGATATTTATGATTTGGATTCACGATTTTTTTATTTTCGTTTTGTTTTATCACTTTTTGACTTTTTGATTTTTTTTTTTTTATATTTTATATTTTTTTTTAAAGAATTCTTTTTCGGAGGGGGGTTTTTTTTTTTCTTTTTTTTTTTGGTTATAGAAAGAACAAAAATCCATTTTTTTTTTATGAATTTATTCTTTCCTTTCTTTTGATTTTCGATTTTTATGATCTCATTATTATTACTTTTTAATACATTATATACATCAAAACATCCCTCTGTTGTTGATTTATAAAGGTTGTTTATAAATGTATTACTCACTATCAATATAATTTCCGCCTAATAATTATATACCATGAACGGATAATACGGATAATACCACCAACCACCACATTTTGAAGATAATAAAATAACACGACTCTTGAAATTAAAATTACATTTATATTATCAAAGATTCTCGGGAGATGAAAAAAATTATTATTTTTTTTTTTAAAGAAAAATAAAACTTTTAAATTGAATTGAATTAAATTGAACTGGACTGAACTGATCTGAAATGAACTGACTGATAATATGACGCAAATCGAGGCAATCAAGGAAAGCAATACAAACCAACCAAACGAACAAATGATAACAAACCAACAATAGATTTTCAAATTTGAAATGATAAAATGATGATGACAATAATAATAATATTATTATTATTATTAACGAACTAACCTGTTGAGTATTATAATATCCTTGACGATTGTGAGTATCAGAATATGTTGTAATTCCGTTACTATATCTTGAATTATCGACCCATTGATTTGTAGTATTTTGTTGAACGGGTGGAATTTGATTCATTTGATTAACTTGTTGAAGTTGTGGATTCGGTTGTTGTTGTTGTTGCGGTTGTTGTTGTTGTTGTTGTTGTTGTTGTTGTTGTTGTTGTTGTTGATGTTGAGGTGGTTGCTGTTGTTGATAATTGACTAATGAACTTTGTCCCTATAATTAAAAGAAAAAAAAAAAAAAGAGAAAAAGGATTTAATAAAAATTCATAATGTAAAAAAAAAAAAAAAAATGAAAAATGAGAAAACAAATGACACTAACAATTGCACCACTCAAAAAATTTGGATTAATATGAATATGAGATCTACCACCATCTATAGATCCTCGTGATTGATATCGCATTTGTTGTTTCATTAATGCTCTCTCAATCTGCCCTGTAACTTCGGCAGAATATACTGGTGCCCCATTAGGTCCAATTATCCAAGTTGCCAATACCCGTTCTAATTTTTGTTTCGTAGGTTGATCCACAACATTATATATTTCCATGAACGTATGACAAAGGTTTCTTGCAAAAAGTTGGATATATGTTCCTCCAACATTTTTACTAATTGAATCTAGGAGGTAAAGTACTGGTAACTTTTGGGTAGGAGATACCTAGAATATGGCGCAGTTGATAAAATAATAACAATAATTATTATTATCATTATTTTTATTATTAGAACTAAATTTACAAATACATAATATTTTATCCTTATTATCATTTTTATTATCATTATTTTATTCTTTTAAAATAGACTAACTTTATGATATACTTTATATGTATATATATATATATTGGAAGTTTATTGATCCGTCACTCCATTGTCATATTGTCTTTTATAAAAATACTTACTGTACGAATTTGGTCTTCGATGGCTTGGACGATAGCCCTCGCCGCATTTATATTTTCTTGTGCAAGAATAGTCAAGTTATTTATTATGGGTTTTGAGTTGAATGTCAATTCTTGAAGTGACGCTCGATAATCTTGTCTAACATTTTCGAGATCCATGTCGGTACTTGCCATAGAAAATTTTTATTTGAAAAAAAAAAAAGAAAAAAAAAAAAAGTTATAAAATCTGAAACTCAAAAAAAAAAAATTAGAATCCACAATATATATTATGGACAATTGTGTCATTCATGTCAACGTGTTCGTGTCACTAGAATATTCCATCGATTTACATGTGATTTCTTTTTACGTTTGAAAGAAAGGTAAATTTATCCTAAACCCCTCTTAAGCCAAATCGCAATTGTATTAATCACGTGTTAGTTACTTTAAAAATTTATTTATATAAGACCTAGAGGTTTATTTTAAGGACATCCTTAAATGAATAAATCTTTTTCTATTCAAAATTACAATTGTAATACTTGTAATACTTGTATTACTTGTAATGCTTGTAAAGTGAATATACTAAGAATTCAAAAATTAACACTTTGGTGAACTAATTTATTAAAGAAGAAAGAAAGATAGATAGATACAATATTTCTTCATTGCCTAAAACATTATTTTTTGATATTTTTAATTTTTCTTCAGCTGCACGATTGGATGTCACAATAATCAAAAATATCAAAATGATGACCTAATTTTATTGAGTTATTTATAAATTGGATTGTGAAATCAATCCTATTTTTACTCATTTGCAAAAAAAAATGCTTCCTCCAGAGCGTATCACCATTTTTTTTTTAATTCGAGCATAGAATTCTCATGGATATTTCAAAATTACCTTAAAAGGATGAGGTTAAAAAGTAGGGAATGTATGAGCTTTATCAGTTTTTTTTTTAAAAAGACTTGACAAACTTTAGTGATGAAAATCTCTATAGGGAAGAGATATCACCAGTAAAGATTTTCTCATTTTATTCAAGATGAATTTTGAAGTTTCGGATGCCAGGTGGACCTCGCAACAAAATTTAATAAATTTAATTAAAAAAAAATTGTTGAACAAAGATTAAAGATGTTCACTTATGCTGGTTAACAAATTTGTTTTTTTTTCGATGTTGTGTGATTCAAAGATGATTCCTTTTATATCAAAAAGATCCCAAATTTTTCACATCATCAGGTTAGTAATATGTAGTTGTTTTAACTTTTATCACAGAAGATTATTCTAAAATTTTCATTATTATTATTATTATTATTATTATTTTTTAGAAATGGTCGGATATAGTGATTATGATGAAAAAGGTAAACCATTTTTTAGTTGATATCAAAGACAAATTAAGAATTATGGTATACCAACACACCAATAAAATATTCATATTCATTTCTAGGGAAAATTATTAAGCTTAAAGATTAGTCAACGTCCTTCCTTTATTGTCCAATGTAGATGTCACAGATCTCAGAAAGGATGATGAAGATAATGATGACGTAATGCAACAAGTAAAGTTGACTGCAGATTTACTTGATTCAGTAAAAACAATAAATACATATTAAATTAATTCCACAAAATCTGAATTCATACATAATATTTCACAATTTGAGTATGCATACAACAATAAAATCGACATTTATGATGAATTTTATTTCCTTTATGTAATTATTAGCACTGGTAAATTTTGTGAAAAAAATAAAAATAAAAATAAAAAATGGAAAAAAGATTTGTCATGAACTTCATTACTAAATTAAATTGTTGTTGTTGTTTGTAATAATTAACATTACGATCGTAACAAACAATCAACCAATTGATTAAATTCAATAATTTATTATTACAAGTAATTCAAGAAAAAAAAATAATTAAATGATAGAATAAGATTATTTATTTTTCAAAATTCCTTTTAATTATTCCAAATTATTACAACTAAAGAGAATACTTTCGTTAAAAAGATCGGCAATTTAATTCCAAATCATGTGATAGTAATTTTTTCTTTTGACAGGTGCCATTGTGAACTTAATTTGAAAATTATAAAATTACATCAACTTTTTCTTGCGTACAACCAATAAGATTTTATCGTATCTTATTAAATTCTTGTTCCTGAAACTTGGTTAAAAGAAGATAAATTAACAAGGGTAAATTTGACAAAAAAAAAAACAATAATTTTCTTTGTAGTGCCCATTGTGACTTAATTGGCAAATGTGAAACAAATATAATATAAAAATGTTGGACAAACTGAAAAAAAAAACGTGGTGAAAAAAAAAAATGACTCATAATTAAATTTCCTGAAATGTTAACTCATCATACGGTAAATAAATATGTTCCCAATTTTTTAATTTTTTTTTTTTACTTTTGTCACATGAAATAGAATGATTTGGGGTTTCTTGTGAAACAAATTTGAATCTATTATTTTGTGTTACCATAATTTATTTAAAACTGTCTACATGAAAAACTGGCATTGTTATTCTCAAAGATTAAAAAAAGAAGCCAAAAAAGAAAAAAAATATGGTGAAAAAAAGCTGATGAAGGAAAAACTTTTCAATCCATTTCAACTGTATTTTTGAATAATTTGATTATTAGTGTTGATGGTGCCGGTTTAACGGAAACAAATTATGTTAATGAAAATGTTTTTAGAAGACCCATAAAAATTAAACAAATATATTATGAAATAATGAATAAGGGTAAAAGAATATTATTTAAATATGTTCTCTTAAACCTAAAATATTTGTTCATAAAATGGTACAGCTGATTTGAAATTTGGGTTTTTTTTTCTAAAAGTTTCATTTTGGTATTTAATAAGAATTGATTCTTCGAATGTTAATCCTTTTACGGTAAAAAAATATGATCCAATATTTTTACTTTTATCACATGGAATAAAATGATATCATGGTCAGAAATAGATGAGATTAGAATCAAATCATTATGAGGTTTCTTGTGCAACAACAAAAAATGAGAATTTGTGGCATCAAAATATAATGTAACACAGAGAATAAAATTTTATTTAACTCTGTCTGCATTACTGGGTTCGCTATTTTCATTTCATTTATTTCATTTCAACTTCAATTAAAAAAAAAAAAAAAAAACCATGGCCAAAAAAGCTGACGACAGAAAAAACTTTTCAACCCACTTCATTGCCGGTGGTGGTGCCGGTTTTACGGAAGCATTATGTTGTCATCCTTTGGATACTGTAAAAGTTAGAATGCAGCTAAGCCAAAGAGTAAATTTTAAAAAATTTCATCTCAAAATCTCAAATTATTTGAAATTGTTCAATTCTTTATTTTTTACATTTATTTATTTATTTATTTATTTATTTATTTTTTATTATTTTATTTTTCGTTTATCTTAGAGCGTGAGACCGGGATTTCTCACTGTCGCTGTAAAAATTATAAAAGCGGAGTCACCACTAGGATTATACAAAGGTCTTGGAGCTGTATTAACAGGAATTGTACCAAAAATGGCAATTCGATTTTCTAGTTTCGAATTCTATAAAGGTTTAATGAAAAACAAAAATACGGGCCAAGTTTCAACCACGGCCACATTTTTTGGTAATTTTTTGAACTCTATTAAACTCCTATTATTCGAATACAGTAATTTATTATGCATAAAAAAATTATCAAAAATTTGATTTGTTCGATTTTTATTGATTATTTATTATTATTTATTTATATCATTTGATGATCTAATAAGATTATCTATAATCTTTATCTCACATTACACAAAAGATCTTTATTTATTTACTTATTCATTTCTTCATTATCTTCATTACTCCATTATCTTCATTACTCAACTTTTTTACTTCATTTTTATATGCATATGCAGCTGGGCTTGGCGCTGGCACTACAGAGGCTATTCTTGTTGTGACGCCAATGGATGTCATCAAGATTCGGCTACAGGCACAATGTCATTCCATGACGGATCCATTAGATATTCCCAAGTATCGTAATGCGGCACACGCAGCTTATACTATTGTAAAAGAAGAGGGAGTACGAGCTTTGTATAAAGGTGTAGCTTTGACTGCGCTTAGACAAGCTACAAATCAAGCTGTTAATTTTACTGTATATCAAGAAATGAAAAAACGAATGAAAACGATACAAGGAACCAAAGAAGGACAAGAATTACCTGTCTATCAACATTTATTGATGGGCGGTATCAGTGGTGCCATGGGTAAATCAATTTTCCTTTTTTTGGAATTGAAAGAAATCTTGTCATTAATTGAAATTTTTTTTGTTGTTTATTGATAAGATTATTTTTTTTTTATGGAAATTGATAAGCGTGAGAAAGTATTAATGAAAAAAAAATAAGAATCAAATAACTAATAAATCAATTCTTTTTATTTGTTTATTTATTTATTAATTAAATTAAATTATTAGGTCCCATTGCTAATGCTCCTATTGATACCATAAAAACACGTATCCAACGATCTTCCAGCACCGAAAAGGGTTGGTCAAGACTTGTATCAGTAACAAGTAATCTTATTAAAAAAGAAGGTTGGCTTGCTTTATATAAAGGCTTGCTTCCTCGTTTGATGCGTGTAGGTGTAGGTCAAGCTGTTACTTTTGCCTCTTATGAACGAATTAAAATTTATCTTGATTTATTCACCGAAAAGGTGAAGAATAGAGAAAAATTAATAGAATGTTAATTATTATAACTATTATTATAACTATTATTATAACTACTGATAAAGGTGTTTTAATTATACAAATAGATATTACCTTGTAATTATATATATAATTATTTTCCGGGTATATTTTTTAAATAGATTAGATTTTCATGGGGGTTCAAAGTAAAAAAAAAAAAAAAAGGTGGCCATTAAAAAATGACATTTGTTAATTAGTATTTTAGTTTTTAGCATTTTTTTCATAATCATAAATAATTATCCTTTTAATCCTTAATATTAATGAATAATAAAATTGTCACACCTACATTTTTAATTATTATAATTATTTTAAATTATTAAATTTGGTAGTTTTATGACAATAACAAAAAATCAGTTATCTATTTTAAGTTTTAATAATCTGTCAATCATATGTGTAACTAAAAACCATTAATAAACATGTGACATATTTCTTAAATTATAATTAATATAGTTTAAAGAACAAAAAAGAAGAATAGCAATCTATATTTAATCGTCTCATAATATTATTTGCTCTATCTTATCACATTTTTTTTTCTCATTTTTTTTTCTCATTTAACATTTTTTCAAGTCTAAAAAAAGAAAGATTAAAAGGCAACATTTGATCTAAAACAAAATATTTTTGTATTCAGAATATAGTTGTACACTTTTTTTTCTTGTAAAAAAAATAAATTTATGCAACTTGTATCAAAGTCATTAAAACGAAAGAACAAATATTGAGAAAAAAAACTAGAAAAAGTTATTATTACAATAAGAAAAACTAAATTAAACATTTACATTCCAAATTCCCAACATCGTTAACGCTGATTAACAATCAGGATGCGTAACTAAAAAAAAAATAATAAATTAATTTATTAATATATATTATTATTATTATTATTATTATTACTTATGTGAAAATAAATTTTTAGAATATTTTTTTTTTGTATTGAGCTCTTACCGTTTAGTCCATTCTTTAGCAACCTTGTCATGTTCTTCACGACTATGCAAATATTGATGTGCGATACTACCAACCAAGGGATCATCTATTTAATTAATTAATTAATTATAAAAATATTTGATATTATAAAATCTATCTATAATAATTTATAATAATTAAAAACGATATTAATTAGATTAATTATATTATTTATACGACTTACGTGGATTCGCATCAGTCAACAATGAGCATATTGACAACAAGACTTTAGAAATTGTCAAAGCAGGAGACCAATTGTCTTTGAGAATGTCAAGACAAATTTGTCCCGAGGAATTAATGTTACAATGGTAAATACGTGTACGGTAAACTACCTATATGAACGAACATTATTTGTTTGTTTTGTTTTTTTTTTTTACAATAAATGATACGTTTACAATATATTTTATAATTTATTTTTACAATATATTTATGAAATATTTACAATATATTTCCAATCGTGCAGTCTAAAATTCTTTTTTTCTTTAAAAAGATTCAATAATTTCTTTTTTTTAATAAATAACGTGGAAGAAAAAAAAATATTTACCTTTGGAGGTTTAAATGGATAATCTTGTGGAAAAGTAATATCCAAGAAGAATACACCACCATCGTATGGGGAACCTACAGGTCCTGTGATGGTGGAAGCCCATTCGTACAAGTTATCACCTTTTGGTCCAGCACTATAAATAATTTAATTAATTCAAAAAAAAAAAAAAAAAATAATAATAATAATAATAATAATAAAAATAAATTCGTAAAGATCTTTTAATGCATTACATTTTAATTATTATTATTATATTATATTAAACATAAACGAACCTGCAGTTACAAGGGGGATCGAGACTAATTTCAGCAAGTTCCTTCTGAATCCTTAGTGGTTTGTAATAAAAAGTTAAAAAAATTAAATTTATACAGTTAAGAATTAGTACTCTGATCAAAATGGAAAGTCAATAATGCAACGCGATTTATATAAAATGCTAATAATGAAAGAACTTAAATGGATGTAATGAAAAATAAATGAATAAGTTTTTTTTACCTTTTTGCACTGCTACTAGTTGGATTAAATTTAGGTGTGATTTGTTTTCCAGTAGAGGAAGATGTGCCAGCTGTTGCAGTAGTTGTAGTAGTAATATTTGAGCGAGAGCTAGCACCGCGTCTATTAGAGGAAGTATTCATATTTTAAAAAAAAAAATGCTCACTTATGTATAATAGGAAGAGATTTTATTTTTCAAGAAAGATTTGTGATGGATTAAATGTATGTATCACTGAAGAGTATACTGGGGATTAGGAAAGTCCTTATTTTCAAATCTGTTTTGAGGTCCTCGGTTCTTCTAACACTAATTGCTTTTGTAAACAAGAAAAGGAAAGTGACCCGTGTATTACCATACATTATAGAACTATATTTGATTTGTTTGTTACAAATATGATATACTATTGACATCAAAAAAACATGAAGCAAACACATGTTACTACTCTATGTGAAATAACAATGATGATGATGAATAACAAAATCTTTTTATTTTTACTAGATTAATAGATTTAATTCTTGAGTAAGTTTTTAAACGTCACGGTAAATGAATTTTATGATCTGGAATGTTCCAAATATTATTTTTACATATATTCCATATATTCCCCGATTAAAAATTTTGAGTGATAATCTATATTTATCACGTGAGATTAATCTATTTGGAAAATATGTCGAGTTCAAAGTTAATAAAACCAATTCGTCTTTTTTTTCTGACCTCTCCTAGAACAATTACCACCGTAGAAGAGTCCCAAGCTATATTTTCATTTTTTAACAGTAAAGGTGAATTAAATGAATTTAAACTTCATAGGGTATTTCCAAAACCAATTTTTTTTTATATTTTTACAAATTTATATTAGGTATATAGTTGTTGTTTTGCGAAAAAAAAAAGATCATTTTTAAAATGATAAAATACTTGAATTAATGAAAAAATCAAGATGTACTACTTTCAACATTTTCCAAAAACCAATTAATTGAATTCTTTGTTAACGTTCAATAATTAAATTCCACAGGAACCATATGATAAGAAAACCTGTAAATATGGTTGGGCTTCTTATAGAGATAATGAAATTGCTAAAAGTTTAATTGGAGAAATTTATTCTTTACCAATTAAATATTCAGTTGAAATTAAAATTAAAGAATCCGAAGACGATAGTATGTTTTTCTTTCTCTGTCTTTTTGTTATTAAATATAAATAAAATATATCAATCTATCTATCTAGATATATAATAGATTTAAAACATCCGAATAATCATTATTCTTTACAGATGAAATTCGAAAACAAATTCCACTATCTCGAAGACAACCGAGATTTAATGGATTTTATATTAAACGTGATGAACCTTTGATATCCAAGAGAATAACAACAGAACAGAGAACAGATTCTTCTGAAAAGATAAATACAACAATTAATGAATCAATTAAAGAATTTCCAATTACAGAACCCATTAATAGTGTTAATACAAAAACGACTTTTAAGACTAGTAATTTGTTCGAATCTAGTGATAATAGTGATAATAAGGATAATAAGGATAATGAGGGAACAGCTGATAATATGACTAGATCTAATGAATTAAGGGATCTGAACGTTGAAAATAAAAATATAAAAGAATTAAGAAGAATCTTTGCCATTCGTGATAGTGTTGGTAAAGGTAAAAATAATTTCGAAGATCAAATCAAATAGAATTGGTATGATTATTTAATAGTGATGAAAATAATAATAATAATAATAATAATAATAATAATAATGATGCCAGTAGTAGTAGTAGTAGAAATTTTGTTAAATAAAACCTTTATTTAAATATATTTTTTAAAAAAAAAATAAACACAAATACGTGTTATTACATATCTTTCGCTTTTCCCAATAACTTAAATAGACTCAGAAGGTTTAACGTGCGATTATCGAAGTCACGCATCGCGAATATCAAATCTTTATATAAAAATAGAATTAAAAAAAAAATTTCACTAGAATAAAAAAAAAAAGCTTACCTCCAATAAAGCCCTTTTAACTTGATTTGTAGCAGGTCCTAAAACATGCACGGCCCGCGGACATTAAAAAATCATTTAAAACCTACCAACATTAGCTTTAACTCTTTATTCAATTATGAAGTTATATTAACCAAACATATAAAGATATTAGTATGGTATGGTAAAATGGACTAGACAATTAATAAATAATAGTTTAGTTTGAGAAGTTGTTATAAACGAATAAAGTTAAATTAATCTAAGATAAATTAATCTGTAATTTTCAGTGGTAATGTTGCCATTTATTTTTATTTTTTTTTAATTTTAACAAATGATGTTTATTATATTTGTGCAAGAATTTCCATCTAAATTATATCTTTGAATGAAATTGAATTGATAATACAATTAAATTAAAACAAAATAATATATTAAAAATAATAAAGTTAAAAAAAAAAAAAAAAAGTTCATTCAATTTTCTTGTTTTCCCTTATCTTTCCAGTATCTTTAGAACTATAAGTCTTTTTTGCAAAATCAACAAACAAATAAATCAATGGTAATAAATAACTAAGGTTGATATAAGTCGCTACCACTTGTTCCCTCGATATTAAACAATTATCCACAAATAAATAACTAAATGCAATAGATGTTCCAATCAAAAATTGAATAATTTGCATTCTAGTCAAATATTTCTTACCTGGTGGATTAAATCCAATACCGGTCGCTGCATAATAAGCGTACATTATTGAATGAATGAATGAATTAAATATTACAAATATCCAAATGGGTGCCGCTTTAAATTTTATTCCGGACCACATTGTTATCATGGCACCAAAATGATGATAGGTTTGTAAAAAAGAGGAACGACGACCCTTCAGAAGAATTATTATGGTATCAATTATTTCATAATCTATTTTTTTTTTTCAATTTAATTATGAAAAAATAAGAAAAAATAAAAAAAAATAAAAAAATAAGTAATTTATCAAATTACAAGGATAAAAGATTGAAAGATCATTTGGAAGATTACTTGATAGATAATTAAAAAAAAAAACACTTGCATTTTGAAAGATAAAAGAGGTAACCCCAATAACCAAGAGCATCCTCCCAAAAACAACCATCTCGATCACAAAACTATCAAAAAAAGAAAATGTAATTCTATTAATAAAATAAAATAACAAATTTTCCGGAATAAAATTAAATAAATGAATAAAACTTACTGCATCTGTAAAACTATCACGATGTTTATAAAAATTCTTGAGAAAGGTTGGAGTAACTGACAAAAATGTCATAACTGAAAAGGTACATAATGCTAAATTATGCAAAAATACAAAGACAGTCATCAATTTTCCACTTTTTCTAACATTTGTTGGTTTTATTCCTTTTTGTATTGCCACTATTCTAGAAACATTGTTTGATTTTGGGTTTAATATGGAGATAGATAATGCATATAAAGAAGCAAAGACTATGGGAAATCGATAATCCATAAGAATTGGATAAAGGTCAGGAAATGGAATGTCTTTGTGTGGAGAAGGGCTGGATAAAGAAATTGGTGGAAGAACATGAGAAATCGGTTCAAAAAATGCATTAGGATCCATTTTGTTTTTTTAAAAAAAAAAAAAATCTATATTTTGATATAATTTCTAAAAGGTTTTTTGGGTGTTTGATTTTTTTTTGATTCTTTTTATTTGTTGGGAACAAAAAAACAATTTGCTATCCCAATTCTGCCATTGATCTAAATTGATCTAAATTGATCTATCAAATTCATATGACAATCGACATGAACATATGAGTAAATTTAACAACGGAATTTATTACTATTTTTGGTTTATTATTTATTATTTACAGGTACAGAGTATAAAAATTTCGAGTCAAGTTTTCTTTCAAAAAAAAAAAATAATGCATCAAAATTACATTACATAATTTACATAATTTTAAATAATTTTTATAATGCTAACTAATTTTGGATCATTTCCTATTCAAAATCTTCCCCCAGAATCAAAAACTACCTTCCTTAGCATTCTCGCTGGACTCTCGTTACTGGTAACTGCTGGCATTGCCACTTATTCAAATGGAAAAAAATTCAAAAAATTTCAAAATTACGCTTTAAATTTAGAATCTCAAATAAATTCTTTGCTCATAACGCAAACTTTACGCGCCGACCAAAATTTTGAGGATATGGGGGCGCAAAATTTAGCTGCGGGTGCATTGAAAGGAAAAGGACGAATTGCTTTAAATCCACTTGTTTTTTATTCGAAAGAAAAAATGGAATTGGTTACAATATTACATGTAGGAGAAGATATGTGTGGACATAGTGGAATTGTACACGGTAGTTTCGAAATATATATATTGTTTTTATAAAAGCACGTGAATTAATTTCGCCTGCATACGCTTCAAAACTTGACGTATTAATTCTGTTTTTAAAAAAATCAAAAGGAGGATATTTATCTACAATAATGGATGAATTGCTCGCAAGAACCGTAAGCAGATCTTTGTTATCATTATACACACTTTTTTTCTTAATATATATATATATTATTTAGCAAATTCATGCCATAACGAAAAATTGATTATAATTTAAATTTTCTTATTCCACCAAAATTAGGTTTTCCCTTCATTACCAGAAAAAAATGGTGCAACGGCTTATCTACATGTAAATTTTCGTAAACCTTGTAAAACCGATCAGATATTAATCGGCCGAGCAAAAGTTACCAAAATTGAACGTAAAAAAGGGTTCGTGAAAGGCAGTTTGGAAACTTTGGATAATGAAATATTAGTTGATGGTGATGCTTTGTTTATCAGTGTTAAGAAGTTATAATTTAATGTGATTTACGTATAACAGATAACATAATATTCCTTAGAAATAACACCACTCAAAATGTAAAAATTAAATATACTTGTTTTTAACGAATTAATAAATTTTTTTTTTTTTTTTTTTTACAATAATTATGTATGAAATTAAAATTATTCTCTTTGTTTTGAAACCGTGGTCATCTCCTTTCTATTAACTCAAATAAATATATTATAAATCTTAAACAATGTTACCACGCTGCCAATATAAAATTCTTTTAAATTTTATATCTTTTTAAACAATTTAAAAAGTAAAAATAATAATTCTACTTTTATAAATATTCAAAATAATTCTTTCAGAACTCAATAAAGTTACAAAAAAATAGTATTACAAAGAGTTGCCTCATTCCTTTTAAACTACGCAAAAATTTTTTCTTTTTAAAAAAAAAAATTACCTTCTAAAAAATTAAAGAAAAATAAAAACTATTGGTTTTTTTTTTTGAGCCATTAAATAATAAATAATAAGTAGTAAATGAATTACAAATTAGGTGTCAATTATACAAAAATACGAAAAATGATGAATAAAATAAAAATATTAGTGTAATAAATTAAGAAATGAAATGTAGATAAAATATTATTAACAAGAATGTATTTTATGATAATAATTGTAAAATCGCGTAGAAATAAAGAGAAATTAAAGCTTATGTTTGTAAAAAAATATAAATTGAATCTATTTTAAGAATACCTAATAGTTCCGTTTTCCTCGTTTTTTATATGCCATTCTAATCGCAAAGTGAATTACAAGATAAATAAAAATCTAAATTAAGATTATACCCATAAATTCTTTTATTTTTTCATTATTCTACAATAGGTTCTACAAATATTTTTTCAGCTACAACATAATTCTCTTCGCCTCGGGTAAGTCTCTTCATGCAAGCCCAAGTACTTGGTAAAGTCATAAATAACCAAGCACTGAATGGTAACCACACATAGTCTGCATAGTTTTTCCACGTCCGTGTTTCACTACTACCCTTTTTGAATAGTTCTGAGTCTATTGTCTTATGTAAACCCTCGTAAAGCATCGCGCATAAAAGTAAAGGCATAGGTAATAGCACTCCCACAGCCTGTACTAATGAGAACATATAAGCATAGAATTCTGATGTAACTATTGGGTTTTGGAAATCTGGATAATAGTCAGCTAAAGGAGAATATGTCGAAATAAGTAGGAATTGTGTTATTGGGACTGCTGCGAACATTAACCATCCAGATGTTGCGGGAATCATATGGGCTTCAAGTACATGGAATACTACTACAAGTTTATCAACAAATGAACAAGACATTAAACAATGTCGCTTTCCTGTCGAAGAAGGATAATTCATCGTATTCTGATTATACAGTAACATCGATTCAGCCTCTGATGAACGATTGTCACTATTGAATGCAGATTTTAACGAGTAAGCAACATCAGCTACACCATTATAATGACGCTTTGCTTGAACGAATCGTGCGTAAATATTTGAGATGTAACTAGCTGTTTCAACATTTGTTAAATTTATAGGAACAAATATTGGGACTGATCTAGCTTGACCACCTGTTTTGAAAAAACATTTTAACCACATATGTAAATCTTCCCCAACAGCATCTTTATCAGTGTCCCAGAAACCAACTTGTTCAGCAAGAACCTTAAAATTACGTTAAATAAATAAAATTAATTATATTATTCATTTAGATAAGAATAAATAAAGAATAAATAAAATTTTTACCATGCTTAAACTATATGTAGAACAAGGAAACGCTAATCCTCGAGGATTACTTAAATTTTGCATAACCATGATAGACCACATTATATCTGTGACACGAACCGCGGCGGGGACTTTAAATGCATTTCTCGAGAAAAATATTGGCGGAGAACATATTGTATTATAAGGATCTTCCGATTCCATCAAAGCCTTTTCTACGTGACGAACATAAAGTTCTGGAATAGCCGAGTCAGAATCTGTTATTGTAAAAATAACTCGTCTTTTATCGATTTTCCTCATCAATTGATCGCAAGCTTCTCGAGCTGCATATGCTACATTACTACCTTTTCCTCGACTTTCACCTGGAACATCCTTTGGATGAACCGTAATTATAAAGTCAAGGAAAGAACCATCAAAATTTCGTTTAATGCTTGCGGCTTTTGAAGCCTGTTCAACCTCTGATTCTTCCATAGCCAATACGATCACATAAGTCGTGGTGGCATTTCTTTAAAAAGTTGTTAGTAACAAATATCGGAATGATTTTATTAAATAAATACATTTGGATTTAATAAAATGGATAATTTATGTAAAAATAAAGAGTATTGCTAAAGTTCATCACCGATGATTATCACCAGTAGGCAAAATTACATTATTCTATAATAATGTATTAACCCTAATCTTAGCCAAAATTAACCTTACCACCTTATATGGTGATGAACACCAATGATGAGCTTTATTAATTTTCTAAAAAAAAATGTATATATATATATAAAACAAATCTCACCTATGCTGGGCCAATCTTTTTATAGTGTCTTTTAATAATGGTTCTGGTTCTTGATAATTTGGTATAACGAAAGCATGGATGTAATGACCTTCATCATAAAGTTTGAGTACGCTTTCCATATCATTGCATCTGTTATCACTTTCAAAATTATTGGACATAGAAACAGATGTGTATCCGTTTCTCGTTGGTGTTATTCTTCCATTAATAGTCGCTGAACGCTTAACAACTTCTTTGGTGTCATAATCTCGTGACATTGATTGATGTTCTTGTTGAGCACTCCAATTACGAATATTTCTTTTTATATTTCTTACAGTAAGACAGAACTTAAGAAAATGGTTTATGGAAATATATAAAAATGTTGTAAAATAAGTCAACAAAAACCAAATATATATACGAGGAAAGAATACGGGACCAAAAAGAAGGGCAAGAATAGCACCGAGAGCAGTGGCAGGGGCAACTAATTCAAAAAGTAGGTTGTTTATGCTCATAATTATTGACTTTATCTAAATTTATCAAAAAATTGTTCAATTTTTCGTCCAAGGAATAATATCGGAGTGACTATTTCGGGAATAACGTTTTGATAATAATAATGTAGGATAATAATTTTGTTAAATAATAATAATTTATAATAATTTTTGAGAGAGGGGAAAATTAACAGTAAAAGTTCAATTAAAAAAAAAAAAAAGGACTACGAATTAAAGGGCGTCAGTGCGAGACCCGAGACTATATCGCGTTATGCAACATATGACCCGATAAAAAGGTTTATCAATTCGAATATTTGGACCGAAATAAAGTCATATAAAGTTTAATTCAACCTAATTAAAATGAAGTAAAAAATAAAAGTTTTACAAATCAAATTCATCCAAAAATTCGAAACTCGCTGAAACATTTTTATGAAGAACAGATTAAAAAGCTTTACCTCTTTTATTTCCACTCTTTCTAGTGTTATTCGTTATTATACCAAGCGTAAAAGTCGTCAAGCCCAACCACAAAATGAACCAAGAAAAAAATGCCAAGTGACTGTATTGAAACGGAGGAAATCGTGCAACAGAATAAAAACAGAATAACACAGATATGAGGGCGAAAAAAGGAGGTATGAAGTATTGTAATATTGTATGTATAAAGCGAACACAAACAATAATAAAGTGTTTATAAAAAGACAACAATTTATTCGAAAAAGAAAAAAAAATGCTGGTATTTGATATTTTGATTATTTTAAAGGTACTAATCAAATAATCAAATCAATCCCAAATAAAGCTTTAAAATTACACGAAAATAATATTTTAATCATTATAAAGCTGAGTGTCGAAATTGGGGGAGCTGACACAAAAATTTTGTCACTAAATTTAGCCACTTCTTTGAATGAAAAAATTTATAGTCAAACCTGCTACAATATACAATAGCATGAGCAAATTACAACTTATTATAGCAACTCTTTTAGAGATGTTAGTTTGATTTTTTTTATATTGTAAAGCAATCTAAATTCATTTATTATTTTGTATTAAAAAGCGTCGCACTAAAGAAGTACTAAAGAGTAAAAAAAATGCAATTATACAATAATATTATCTCCATGCACGTAAATCAAAAAGTTGGGTTGGTTAGACTTCGTTTGATTCCGCGTAACCCTGGTACTTACCAAAATAAAGTGATATAAAAAAAATGAATATTGTGACAATTTAAGTAATTAAAAATTTTTACGCCATTTTGTTTATAATATACATGCCGTCGAAAATTCAGGAATTACAACGGGTTACGGCATTTCGATTTCGGCTTAGCCGTAACTATTTCGGCAAAGTAAATATAAAGCGGCTGCGCGACAATCAATATATGTAACACATAAAAATGTTACGTTTCTTTTTATCACTTTTTTTTTTTAAATAAAAAGATTTTTACTATTAAAGTTAATATTTTGTAAATAAAAATTTATATATATACATTCTTTTTTAAGTTAAAAAATATAATTTTGTTATTTTATATTCGGAAGAGTGAAACCTTGCAATAACTTTACTTGAGGAGGGTAGTGCAAGAAAAGTAGGCAAAAGTAACGGTAACCTTGCCCATTCAACAATATTTCAACTGGAAGCACCGATAATTAGAAGAATTGGAACGATTAAGTTAGAAAGTATAATGAAGCGTTAATAGATTTTAATAAAGTATCAGAAATAGAGCCAAATAATGATCACTATCAAATATTAATGTAGTTTTAAAAATAGTCTCAAATAATGCTTTTGAATCAAAGTTACGAAGAAACTTATACAGGAAAAATTAAATAAATGCAAAGAATCACTTAATTACTTCGCGGGGTGAATGAACTATTATAAAAAAAATTAACCCAAATATGTGTTCATATATCCTGTAGATAGATAGATAATCGCGTAAATCCTTTTTTTTTTGTATCGCGAACCTAATCTATAAAAAAACAAGTCATCAAATGAAAATTCCAAAGGTAATAAACAAGGACATAAAGTTTATTAAAGAATCAATAGATGGTGGATACCACTCAGTGTATTGTTCTAAATCTTGATCTAGAGGAAAACCTGAAGTTTGAAGGCACATTTAGTATTACATTGTACCAAAGTATCACAAAGTCTAAAACTTGAATTTATGATGATTTTAGCAACAGTAAATAAAGATCCTAAAGATTCTAACAAAAGACAAAAAGTTTTCAACATACTAATAACAAACTTTTATAATTTAACCAATGAAATTGAGAAGGGTAAAAGTTAATTGAATTTTTTGTTTGCTTGTTTGTTGTTAGATATCATTTTCAATAGCTATTTTATTAACTTCGTTCAAAGTTTTTGTTATAATTATAAACCATCTAAAAGAACATCTCTTTCAATAATTATTTTGGATAAAGAAAGTAACATTTTTTTAAAAAAATTAATAAATAATTGAAACACAGAGATAATTTACATTAGGTTGAAATTTAATTAATGTATTATTCTAATAAATAATTATTACAAAGGTGAAACAATATTTATTAAAAAAAAAAGTTTTATTATTAAATTACCTAATATGTAATTAAGTGATATGAATAAAAATATATCATTTATAAGAATATTATATAATCTGAATATGTATTTATGTTTAAAGAGGTTTTTACATGAAAATTTTGAATTAGGAATTATAACATAATAAGAAATTTCTAATTTTTACTTTCTCCTTTCCTGTTTTACTAGAATATTTAAATTATAATAAACTTTATAATTTTTATTATAAAATCTTAAAATTCAATTTTTTAATATAAATTTATATTTTTAATTACATTATTGAACCATTTATTTCATAAAGTATATAATTTATTTTTGATATAAGAGTTTTGAAAAAATCATCTGAAATTAGTTAAAGTTTTTAAAGATCAATATTAACAAATTTTATTTTTTAATTCTAAATTATATTTTATAAAATCTTGCTCTTGATCTTGTTCTTATCAAAATTGAGAATATTTATACTCTAATTTTATCAAACTTAGTATTAAAATAATATATTTATTTTGTTTATTTTGATTATTATTATTTATTTTTATTTATTTCTATATCTTTTTAACTGGTTATTATTATATTTTATTATTATTATTATTTTATATTTAATTATTTATTTTTAAATTAAAATAGAATATTATTAAGATAATATCTAAAGGTACAAAGTAATTATTTAAGATTCACTTACTTAATAAGAAAGCACCTGATTAATCTAATCTTCAGTACAAATGGTTTAAATATCTTTTATCAAGCAATTTGAAAATTTTAAAAGGTAGCAGCAAAGAACATGAGCAAACTTTTTTATTTTATATTTCTTGATTTTACACCTTGGAGTTTTATGCTTTTTTGACTTTTTTAACCTTTTCCTGAGAACAAAAACTAATTGAACTTTTTGATTAAAAGCTCTCCTGTATAATATTTTTCTCATAAATTTTACAGTTTCAAAATTCTTAAATCGATATAAAAAATTTTAATAATTGAAAATTGGTGTAATTTTATACATAGATAAAACATCTTTAATTTTTTATAAATTATCAAAATCAATAATTTGGATTCTTAAAAGTTCTAAAGTTTTTTAACACTTTTTTAAATAGTAATTTTTTGATATCTAGCTTACTATATTTCAGGTCTTTTGATAATAATTTTGTTTTTAAGATTTTAAATATTTTAAAAGTAATCCTGATATATTTTAGATAAAGTATAGCTTAATATATTTTTTCTTTTGGTATTTTTTTTTCTTTATATCACTCAAATGATACTCAAAAATTTTTTTCACTATATCAACTACAAACTAGATTCACCACTCAGGTGTAATAACAGAATTACATGTGCGTCATCACATGAGTTTACGAATCTGTCATCAGATTTGGGTATCCCATAAGCCACAAAAATATGACACAGGTTTTTATTCATGTCATCATCTTAGAAGCCATTAAGACGTACCGAAGAAAGGTACAATGTGTTGTGGCTTGATGTTGTTAACTTGTTTCTTTCTCTTATTTTTATTTTTATTTCATTATTCTTTATATGTATTATCATCTATATATTATATATATTTT